TTTCACTTTGTTAAGGGGTCTTTTTAAAAAATGTGCACTCCAATTTAAAAATGTTGGTGCCCCTTTGAAAAATTGATGAGAAGGCTAGCCACTTTTAATTCTCCCTCACTTCTATCTATTCTCATTTAACATATTGATCAATGAGAATTCCAAATTGAACTTCACCGCAATTAAAGACTAGGTTAAACATCATGGGAATATTTACCACATTTATCTTTAGCATTTTTATAGCATACTTTTAGACGCTCCCCCGGATTTTTGAAGAAATGCTTTATGGTATAGTACATTTATATTTATGATATAAATATATATATGGTATAGCACCGATGTACCCAGGGTCCGGGCCCCCTCCCTCCGATATGGACAATTTTTAGTTATTTTTAGAACATTTTTGCCTGAAAGGTCTCATTTTTCTCATTTGGCGCCCAATTTAACAATAATACTTTAAATTTGCCATTTTAGCTTTAATACGACTTTTTTGCCAAAAAGGAGGAATGGAAAATTAGTAAAAATGGCAATTCTTCAAAATTATATTATTATATACAAAGTTGTAAAACAACCGACATATTTGTGTGTGCTCTCTTTTTTATACCCTCCATATATTAGCTTTGTCATTCCGTATGTAACTCCTCGAAATATTAATGAAAGACCCTAAAAAGTATATACATTCTAGATCAGCGTAAAATTCTAAGGCGATTTAGGGATGTCCGTCTGTCTCTCTGTCGGTCTGTCTGTCTGTTTTAATCACGCTATCTTTCGAACAAAGTGAGATAGAAGGCTAAAATTTTGCATACATACATAGTTTACCAGGAAGCAGGTTAAGTTCGTAAATGGGCCATGTAGGTCCACGTTTTCGTATGGCCCCTATATAATTATATACCTCCCGATATTCGGTATATTCATGATTTTAGCGACATTATTTACAGGAATTACATGAAATTTCGTATTTGAAGTTCTTAATGGGTAGTACAGCCTATGACAAAAATTTTTGTATGCAGATCCACATCTTCGTATAGCCCCCATATAACGGTTTTCATTTAAGTGGTAGTTTTTTTGAAAATTTTCAAGTTTTTCCCAAATGGAGGAGGGTATTAAAAGAAAAAAACTTAGCTGATTTTTTATTTGTTTGGCCTTCAATGTTTACTAGATGTTCGGGTATGGCCACGGCGTTCAAGTGAAAACTTGTGAAAATAGCTCAATATTGTATTACATCAAGGCTCTGGAAGGCAACTACTATTAACACTTCTATTTTTCATTTCGCTCCAGTAGTGACACTCAAAGATCGCCTCAGCTGTTTCGTCTGGGCGTTCATGAACTGTCAGCCAGTCAGACATCACCTAACTCTTTAGATTGATTTGTTGTGGATAAAAGTCAAGGCCGATTTCATTTAGCGGATTTTACAGAGGTCATGTGCTTTCAACATACTCTTCATTGGCCAAATGTTTTTTTTTCTGGAATGTTTCCAATTTCCTTGCTAGCTGTCTCATTTAAAGCTGTGGTTAATTTATCTTGTTAAGCAAAGCTAAGCTTAAGCGTGACGGGAGTGAAACCAAAGCAACATTTTATTTGGCTGCATCTGATCAGAGCAGACGTTTCCCAATCTTTCCGCATTTCCTTTTTTTGTTTTGTTGGTCTCAACTCATCATAGGCGCAGCTGAAACACGCATGTCCTTTGTTAAGTCAACAACAGACTCCCTTTTCTTTTTGAGAACACAAGCACGCACTATTGTCCCTTAGTGGTTGTTGGCGAATATTCATGTGTTCGATTTCATCCTGGTGTCCCATTTGGGAACACACGTTTGCACCCTCCTCACCAACCAACCAAACAAACAAACAACAACAATATAAAATTCCATATAGATCTAATAATTTTCTGTTGCCAAAACACACACACCGCTCTCACTCTCTCTTTCGCTGTCGTCCTCTCATCCAAAGTGACACATGCTTGCAGGCATTTGATTAAGATCCTGGGATCCGTAGAACTCTCTTTGTGGCCTGTATCGGACATTGACTACAATTCATCATTTTGAAACTCATTTCGATGTGTCGGGTGGATGGATATAGTTTTTGTTACAATTTACTGTAGTTGTTGTTGTTGTTGTTTGGCGTTTTTGGCACGCGTTATGCTTTGGCGAATTGAAATGAGAAACAGCTGCTCTTTGCTTTGCTTTGTCGAATGTCTGGCCAAATGCACGATTTTTGCAGCGAGGATTAAATGCGATATTCCCAACACTTTCAACATTGTCATTTGGGGAGGGCGACGAACGGTTGTTTTTTGAAAAGAAAAACAAAAATTAATTAGAGTTTTGAAATGATATATATTTTTGTACAAAGTAATTTAAGGATAAGCCAAGACATAATACTGGAAAGGGACATGCTCAACGATCCAATGTGTGACAGAGAGCAATAAATTTTAATCCATACTCCCTGGGAGATATTAAAATAAGAAAGTGTATTTATTCAAAAACAAAAAATATAATGATATTTTATGTACAGCAGATCAATCTTAAGGAAGTATGGGAAATGAGCCCAAAATTTTGGGTAACAGACAGCTTGTGAAAATGATAAAAAACCAGGAGAGATGTTTTAAAATTAAATAATTGATGCGATCTTGTGGTTTTTTTATGTTCCCAAGGGAATTGCAGTTCTATAATCGACACTTCTTCAATGGGATTAAATTCTTGTTCCCAATCATTTTTTTTCATCAAGGCTTTCTAAAGGTTTCAAAAACCTAAACCGGCCAGGAAAAAAAGTCGAAGTGACCTTGAATATGAAAAGTTCTCCCAAGGCTTGCTATTGCCTTGAAAGACATCTGGGATTCCAAAAGTTGTTTTGATATCCTGCTTCAATTGTTTAATTGAAAATTGTTGCCGGTTCAATCAACAACAATGTATGTGTTTCACAGCAATCAGACGGAATCAACATCTTTGTCCAAAACATTAATCAAACAAATGTTTTTTTTTTTTTTAACAAAAAAAGAATAGCTATCAAATAACAATAGAATAGTTAGTTTAAACAATGAGAAATAGTTTTTCTCCCAAAAGGGATAAGTTGGACACGAATGGGGTACGGCACCAACAACTGGCCATTGTCCACTCTCTTGAAACGGACCGTTATGGCCTATTGTTTACCCGACAACAAGAAAAAACTAGAAATGGACCACATTTGTTGACATGAATAATGGGTGCATGTTTTTCTTGAAGGATGTCCGAGAAAACTTTTCTAAATCTTCTTAAGTTTTCAAAGGACAAAACGTTTCATTGTTCCACAGGACAGATGTGTACAAATTTCATGTTTTCCAGATGAATCGAAATGTGATCCAGTTTTCTAGAAAAGGATGCTGCAGATGTTTCTTTTTCTCTTTGAAATTATTAGGGGACTTCTACTAAAAAATTCTTCAGCTATCATTGTTTATTATTAGCGGCATGGCAAAAAACTTGTATTTACTGACCACAGAGCCACTTTTATAAACAAATGTTGAAATAAGAAAATAATGAGATTTGATTTTTACTCGCTTCAAGGATATCTTGTTGTTTTGGAAAACCTTGAATCGAGTGGTAAAATTCCCTTTTGGCTGAATTGCAAATTAAACCAGAGTGTTTATTATTTATTGGCTATACACTTTATCGTCCTAAAAGAGATATAAACAAGAGTACAATCAGAGCTTGAAAGAAAAAAATGTTGTCGTCATCTTTTATAAATTTAATACATTCTTGATTTCCAATTCGTTCCGAAAAAACTTTATTTCGAACTATACTAAATTGTAATGCACAACATGAATAAATAACTATGGCGACATCTGTTGCAAATATTTTTCATTGCCATCTCTCTCAATTCCATTTATTCAATCACAGACACAAACGTCCGAAAGGCAATGCCATTCCTTATAGCAACCATTTGTCTCACATGGCAATTCTATTCCCTTGACAAGAAAATGGCAACTCTACAAAGTGGTTTTTGATTAGAGTAGAAACAAGGCTAAACAGCAATGACACTTGAATATCTGGGGTTATCGTTTACTCATTTATATATTCGACTATACTGTGTGGAACCTGCAAGAATCTTCTATTTTCGAATATTTTTTTTTTTGATATTATAAAGGGGAAATCGGTTATTGTTGTCAAACCTTTGACATTCTTGCAGTGCTGGAACAGACCATTTGTACATCTAAGCAAAAGGTGTGTGATAGTTGGTCTGTTTTGTACTACGACCACCGATTTTCCCTTTATGATATTGAAAAATAAGAAATAAATAGATTTTTTGAAGGTCCTAAAAGAGAGCAAATATCTCTCTGGCTTTCCGTTTCACTTGAAATTTTAGAGCATTAGGTTCTTTTCGAAGAGAGATGAACAAAAAAGCGTACGCCTTAGTTTATTTTCTGTTTATTCATTTATATATCTGGTTATACTGTTTGGCAGCAATATTCATTTTTTCATTGTTTGTAATAATAATTTTTTGAAAGTGACGAGAATAACTAAATCAATGTGTATGTGGCAGCAAAATGCAACTCTGATTTACAATTAGTCCTGTGCAAACGGTATGTTAGTAAAATATATGGGATCTGAAAGTCGATTATGACGTTTGTAAAACAAATCCAAAGATCGATAGTCGATCTATATATCCCGTTGGTAGTGGAAAATTCCTCGATTCCATTCAGAGATTCATGATCAGTTCCAGAACCTTGAAGATTCTACAAATGTTACTACGAAAACCGATTTTCCTTTACAATATTGAATAAAATTGTAAAAATGGTAGATATTTATCGGTTTTGCAAAAGAGTCATTATTGTTTGACATAAATAACAGGGGTATGAGCATTTTTGTTAAACAAAATGTAATCCTTTAAGGGACATTTTCATTTATAATTTTATAAATTAATTTTGTTTTTCTATTCTTTTTTTCGCATAATTGAAAATTGTATTTAATGTGAATTTATGCTGCTCTGAATCACCCGGTAATTTGTGAAAAATCGATGCTATCGATAACTTTACGCGAATGATTTTTCGCCATCAAAAAATCGATAAGTCGAAAGTCGACTTACGGATCCCTAATTCACATTTGGAACATTCATTCGCCATTCGCGGGGTTCTTAACAACAACCAACGACGACCAACGGATCCGTGTGTTACGAGATTACGAGAGTGCGAGAGTGTATTGTTGTGAGTGCTTCCATTCTTTTTCTGCTCCGACCACCAAAGAAAGACCGAAAGAACAATTCCTTCCTTTTGACAGTTGTTGTTGCTTTTTGGTCTATAAATCAAAAACAAAAGCAAGCGTGTGCTATTAATTTCTATGAAAAAAAAAACTTGGAAAGGAAAGAAAAAATAGAAATCCTTTAATAAAAACTCTACGCGAATAAGTGAAAAGAACGTGATTTTGATTCCTTGTTCTCCTTTTCTTGTGTCTATTTGTAGGAAGTAAGATAAACCGATTCAAACACAATGTCGTTGTACCGTATTTCAACGCGTAAATTGCCAGAGGCTCAGGTGAGTTACAATAATTTCCCAAGTGTGTGTGTGTGTGTGAGTTAATGCGTGCAAAATCAGAAATTGCCAATGATTTAAGACTTGATGGCGGTGGTGTGATGTGCGTGTACACTACGATTAAATGCTTTGGAAGATTACTAGTCACGTTGTATAGAACCCCCGAAGATTAATAAAAAAAGACAATTCATTGCCGGTGCCACCACCATGTGTATTGATGTTCCAGAACTGTAGCATATTCTCCGATTTTTCCATTGAGCTGGAGTAAATCACCCCAGTAATGTAAACTTTGAACTCTCTTGAGTATTTCGAGAAAGTCATCGTCCCCTTGTTCGCTGCCTGCGTTCCCCTATTGTAGAAATCATTAACTTGAACAGCACAGTGAAAAGTAGGGTTAATCCAACTCTACTATATATTCCGTTGTCAATGTGGTGTGAGTGAGTTTGTGTGTGACACAAGTAAACCGAGATACGCGATTATGATGATGTGTAAACGTGGTTCAGTTTTTTTTTCTTCTTAAAACTAATTATGAATGTGAATTAGGTTTTGTAACAATTGTTTGGTAGTTAGGCTCTTTGGCTGACCTCCTTGGGTTTTAGCCATGAAGAAATGTGTGACCAAAATGATAAGAGCCGTTCTCTACCATAGAACAAAAAAGTGGGAGAATAAGAGAGAGAGTGAGAGTTTTACTACTCTTCACTAGGGGTATAGCTTGCTCATTTGATGGTTTAGAAAAAAAAACTGCCGCCTGCTACTTTCTTTTATCATGCCTTTTTTACGCTTGCGTTGAAAAAATCTCATATCGTTTTTGTTGTTGTTGCTGTTCCATATAGTTTACCCACTGCCCCATTACATAACAAACAAAATTATAATTTTTGCATTGAAATTAGTTGCAATTTTATTTGTTAATATTTTGTGATGGATACAATTAACACGGCCAAGTAAATTGTTAATTTGTGGCGGCACGAATATGAATGACCTTATTTCGCTTTGTTGGCTAATGACAGGTGTCAATAATAAATGTGGGAAAAGAGGGATTATTGGGCTAACATTAAATATAAACTATAATGTTTAGGTAATTCTAATAAACTAATTATAGTTAGATTTGTGCTTTGTTTTGTTCTCGGCTTTTTTTGATAGGTGTGTCTAGATGTTTATGTAACCACTGGGTGTTGATTGCCACACAAGTGTATTTGGAAATAATTGAAAACCGTATATGGCTAATTTTGGGTGGGTATTTTTGACAAAATAATTATATATTGTAATTAACATTTCTTAACTCTCCTGTCCCATAGTTGAAATTTGATTTCTTCAACTATAGAATTGTATCCTACTCCGGCTACTATTTTCAATGGAACCCCTTTTATTAAGTGGCATGTTATTGAAGTTAAAAAAAGTGTTATAAAAACCGACCATACCCATTGTGTAATTAGGAGTAGTGTTTCAAATATTGAATTTTCCGTACGCCCTTAATCCTATAAAATCGAATACTTGCTTTAATTTAAACCTTTAACTAACGAGGTGGTGGTAAATTTTATCCTCCCTTCAAATTTTCTTGAAATTCTCTCTTCTATTGAGATGAATAAAAGATTTGTTTAAATGAAAAAAATCTGTTTTTCTTTTACTTATCGTAATTTAAAATATACAAGTTTATATATATATATAAAAAAAATTATCAAAAAAAAATTAAACATATAACATAACAATTTTTTTGTTGTAAAATTTCGAGGGGTAAAATTTACCGCCACGTTATAAAATATGTCACCTCACCAGTTAAAAGTTAACTAGGGCGATGGGGAATATATAGAAGTTCCAGCATTACCTGAACTGAATTAAATTTGCAAAGATGTTTCTAATACAGCTCATATATAATAATATACGTTATGTAGCCGATATAGTGTGATATAAAACCTATGTATATATGATTTTCAGACTTGAGTGAAGGCAAAATTCAATTTTTTGTTGAAGTTAGTTGCATCTTGGGGGCATGCAATTTAGTGCACCTTTTCCTGAGGAGGTTATCACCTAGGTAGAAATCCATGAGAGTAATGAATTCTAATCAGATTTTCATTATCTCCTAAAGAGTTACCAACAAAGCCGGCCTGGCCGAAATTGTAAATGTTTAAACATTTTTAGGGAATTTTGCTTAAAATCTCTTTTTGTCGATAAAGTTGCTTTTAAGTAAAAAAAATAATAAAATCTTTAATAATACATAGGTACCTAAAAATATTTTAAGAACTCGCAAATTATTTCTTGAGACTATGGCGACATATTAGCATTTATTTTTAAACATTGCTCCACAAACATTTTTTGATTTGCCGTTTTCTCCTCTACTACACGCTTATACGATAAGGTGATTGAACTGCGCTAATAAAGATTACATTCAGATCTCGTTTGGAAACAAGAACGACTTTTAATATATCTACTTGGCTAATTTTGGAACACAAATTTCGCATTTATGTCTTTTGATAAAACAAAAACACATTTCTTCCAGTTTGAGTATAAAGGGGGTAGTCTTTTTTAGGAATAAAACATTAAGTTATTGAGTATTTGAAGAAATAATCTTTAATTAGAAGTATAACCAGAAGTTTTTACAATTTTTTTCCCATTTCAAATTCGTATATTCTTTATGAGGAGAACTGTTTCGTTGTGTGCTATTGTCTTACAAAACATCGTTTCGTTTTCTTTTTTTCAATTGTTTGGAGATTTGTTAACAAATTTTCAATTGTGACTCAATTGTGTAATGACATGGAACCCGACTGTGTGTTTCTTGTTAAAAAGACCTTCAAATTTATCCATATATTTCCTACATTTAGGAAACCGGTTTCAGTCATGTTCTTGAACTTTTTCATGTAATTCAAAATATCTGATTAGCTGTCGTATTTATTTTTACTGCACAAAATAGTTCGTTCGTCAGCAATAACTTAAATCATATTAAATTTATAGTTAGCTCCCTGTTGAAAATTTTCCAACAATCGCATTGGCACTCACAACTGAATAACAATGCTAAAATAATCTAGATCTTTTTGAGGAGATTTTGCTTTTTATCTTAATGACTTTTGGCCATTGGCGTCAATTGGCACGGTTGTTATCTTTCCGCATAGAACGAATGATAAGCAAACACGCCAATGGATTTCAGACAATTTATTTCTTCAAATATTTTTAAGTAAACTGTGTGTTGGGAGAAGAACAAAGTTGCAACTCAGGTACATTTGAAATTGATAATTTGCATGTAATTTACTTATTCGACCGACTCCAGACACATAAAAGCGTTTTGTTGTTAATTTCGATCGAATTCAAAGTTCATTTGCTTTTAGCCTTCGTAGGTATTGTTTTTGTTAAAAATAAAAATCTTTTGGATGTAAAACATTCGTTATGACATCACCACCTCCACCACTACCACACATGTCGAACTGATGTTTTTTTGCTTGTTTAGATAAAACATTTTTAAGTGTTATTAACTAAAATCTGTTTTTATTTGGCCTATTCTAGAAAAGCTTTTCTTTTTCTCTTTGAGTAGAACAAATCAACACAGTTTTCCATCATTATTTAACCCTGTTGGCATAACACATTGCTACGCGAATTATTTATTTAAATATGCCATACATTCAATGCTATCTATATCACAGCAAATTTTCCGGCATTATTTTCTCAGTGACGTAGAGAAATCATGGAAAATGTTTGTATTTTTTTTTTATGGAAACTGATAGGAGCCAAGAGAAGGAGGGGGAGGCACGTGTGTGGATTGGCCAAACTACTCATGAACACAGATAATGACGTTTACATTGTGTCGGCGTGGACGTCATTAAAATTCGCTACGAGTGCTATATATTTATTGCTAATTTAGTGCTAATATTTATTATTTTTAACGTTTTTTCTTAGATATACATATATAGATTGTAAAGTTCCATTTAAGCGGAATATTATTTTCTGATCTGATTTTTGTCTGCCAATTCCAAGTCTTTGGAAATAACCTTTGTTCGGAAATACAACCTTCAGATGCTGGTCCAGAGTTAGGGAGGTCTGTCTGCTGTCTTCCACCAAGCGATAATGTTTAATTTATATATTTAATATTTAAACAACCATCAGACAGTAACTCGTGTTTTTTTTTTCAAATCATGCGTTAAATCGTCATATTCCTGGCTAAAGGTGATAAGGCGCACAATGCCAGTGGCAACGCACTTAGTTTAACCTATACGGAAAGTTCCAAGTTTTGTTTTAGTAATTAACCCCCTGATATTTGGAATAAATATTCTATATAAGTTCAAAATCTTTCTATTGAAATGTTCTTGGAAAGGAGGTCCCTTCCCATATTTCTCTGATTCAAAAATTCAACTTGAAAGCAAATTTAATAACAAAACAAACGTACTCCCCAGAAGTACTTCAGCTGGTCCTCATTTGCTGTACTGTCGACAAACTGTTTTGCTTTTTTTTTTTTCATTTACAACTGTCTGGCCACCACATCTTTCCCCTTCCATATTAATGCACTTCCCTTGACGGGTGCAGAAACGTTCTTGCTGCCACTACAGTTTTGATGTGAGAGCAAGTGCGTGTTTATTTTGTGCGGGGTAAAGGGAGGCAACTGGGTTTGCATATTCAATTAATTTGCGCGCCAGTGTTCCACTCACATTGATTACCACGTTATCAATACTATGGAGGGAGCATACACACAAACTCACAGCGAGGCTCGACACTTTTTCCGCCTTTTTCTTCGGAATTGAAATTTAATAATTCTAATCAAATTAAAACAGAAGACAACAATATGGGTCAATATCAGTGTGCTAACTGGAATTAACCGGAACGATGTGATTGAAAAGTTCGCAGTGTACATAGGATGACATTTGTTCGGCTTAATGAGATTGTAAAGAAGTTTTTGTTTTGTAGTGGAAGGGTGTATCAAAGGATGGGAAGATTTTTATACCATTTCGTTTTGATTGCTACGGTTATTGAACTATTTGGCTGGCTATTAGACATTAGCCTTTATGAAAGTCTTTTTACGCCACAATATACAACAACGACAATTCAGGAGACAAAGAAAATTCTGTATGAAAATGTGATGTATGGCTTCGTGCGGCCAAATATTCGTATTGCTGGCGTCTCGTGGTATTTAATTCTAAAAATACTGAAAAAAACATTTTCATTTTCTTTTAAATGCCTTCTTTGTGTCTCTCTTACGTAAGATAGACATAATTTAAGCATCCACCAAACATATACATATCAACTGTTTTTATCATACCACTTGTGTTCTAGTGGGAGAGTGCGAGAGTGAGCATGAAAATTGCGCACAAATCTGGTCAAAATCATCCCCATGCAATAATAACTTGTTTCAAATGGTTACTACTTTCTAATATTTTTTTTTTGGAATATGTTTTCAATGATATTGGGAGCTACGAATGGAACGAATCAAACTTCGTTCATATCCAATTGTTTCATAAAATGTATTCATTTATATAAGGTCCCTGAACTTAAAACTATTTCATTCAACTTTCGGAAGATAAGAGGTGATTGAACTAGAAATGATGGAAGCTGAAAAAGAGTCAATAGAAATCTTGCCATTCAACATTGATAGGAAAGTAGCAGTAAAAAACTCGCTTTTTTATTTTTATTCTGTTAACGTTTGTTCTCGTTATATTTTTAGCACCATATATTGTTGAGAAAATAGAAATAATAACTGTAATTCATAAATCAATTTACTTAAAATCATATAACAATAAATAAGGAAGTTGAAAATATTTTATTTTCCCAGCACTTATTTATCATTAAATGTCAATGCTGTCATTCAGCCGGCAACAGTCATTAACGGCAGTTGCCATGCTCACGATATTGAAAAAAGTTTGAATGCATTTATTATTGAAATTATTGCTATTGCATGTAGTTTACAGTTGCCAAGTAATCGGCTTTTCTATTGTTTGCGATTTTTTAGGAAAACTTGGAGAAGATCGGTAAAAACTTTTCTAAATGGGTTATTTTTAATACATTTACCATTCGAAGAAACCTCTACAAATTGTGGTATTGGGTGCAATATAATTATCTTTTCCACAAAAATCTACAATTAGCATGCATATAATCCCCTTTTATGACCCTTGCCAGATGACTTTTGGAATAATAAAACTAGTAGCAGCACTCGTAAATATTTCGATTAGAGATCAATAGTTTTACTGCAATCAAGCTTATAAATGTATTAAGAATTTAGTGATAATTATCAGCCGCTGAGAAAATATCGACTGCCTTCCCAACAAAGTCACGGAACCGATAACAGATAAGCATGACGAAGAATTTGATAACGACGAATGTCAACCATGTTAACAAATACTCTTTTTTTTTTCTATTATCTGATAAATGGAAGTACTCTTCTCCAACAAAACAAACACAGAGACGCAAGAAAGGGTTCCAAATTGTTTGGATGATAAGATTTTCTAAAAGTAGCGCCAAATAAATTCCCCATTGAGTTGAGTTGACACACGCATATAACTCGAACAAAGAAGCAGGTATTATGTGATCATTTAATTATCAACGTCATGTGATTTCATTTCATTTTTTGCCATATCATTTTTCCACCGCCCTGATATGTGGGGGGAAAATTAACACAAAATAAATCAAAACTGCACACACTGAACGTATTTGAAAAGCTAATTTAATAAACGAATTTTGTTTGAATAAAAATAAGTATAACTCTGGTGTTTGTTTAAATAAAAAATATGGATAATTTAATTTATATTTTTTTTTTTTTTTGCAAACCTTTACTTTATTTTTCAATTGAATGTTTTTCTCTTTAATTTTGTCTTTCTAAAGAGTAATGCATATTCATTATTAACCTTGGGTGGGAAATAACAGATACTCGTGTTTCTAATGACATCATGTGATGGATGAAATATTTACTCTGAGTTGAAGTCGTCGTACACACATCTATTTCCCCTAAGATATACTTGCATAGAAAAAAAACAGATGTGCCAAATGACTTGACAATAGGTGAAAAATTAAAAAAATGTGGATTTTATTGGGAATATAATTGAACCAATGATTATTCCAAAAATTATGAAATATTGTTCCAATAATAAATTGTAACTTGGTTGCAATCAGTGGGGTAATTAGTTGCATATATTCACTCGCTTCCGACTAGGCTTCTTCCCTTAATGTTTACCGTATCTGACACGATCGCTTGTGTAAATTTGCCGTTGAACCTTGACATATGTACGCTCATAGCAACAAATACACTAAACCAGGAACTATATATAAATATAGTACAGGTGAATGATATCGTGCTATTGCCGTGCTGATTGGCGGTATTTAGACTTTTCATTCTTAATAGGAAAATTTACATTTCTAATAGAAACAAATGATGATGGCAATCACCGTCCACGTCATCAGTCGGTTTCAAATTACAACTTGTTGCAATCGTTTAAGAGAACATTTCGCACATGTTCGAATGATGATACATGCCACCAGAAACGTTAGGAGGCATACATTAAAGCCTTGCGGTTGGTTTTCCATTCATTCGCCGCTAGCTAAGGTGTGATGTAAGTTGTGCTAAATACTGGCCGTTTTGCATATTCAATTACACCGCTGGCTTTTATCATTGCAGCTGATGTTGTTGTCGTTGTTTTTGTATTTGGTTAACGCCTATCTTGTGAATTGCTCTATATTTATAATGATTTATAAGATAATCGTAAAGTGACGTAGAAGTCGACAGCCAATAAATTGATTTATCTAAAAATAATAGCATTTGCTTTATCAATCTTGTCACATTCGCGATCATTGAACGATAAATAATGTTAATTTATGCTGTGTTTAATTGATGGCAAGGTGTAGTGGAACTAGTTCAATCTACATTCTCATGGATCCCACCCCTCTTTGGGGGTGGTCTATTTCCCCATCGTTTTGGGTCATTGGCTTCAAAAACAATACATAAATGAAATAATGATGTATATTTCGGCCACTTAAGAAGAAGGGGAAGAAAGTAGACGATTTCTATGCCAATAAATAGTCCTATTTACGCAGATCTGCAGTCACGATCCATAACAAGAAAAAAAGTCGAAATGTGAAAAAGAAACATGTCCTTAAAAGTTTGAATATAGATCTAGAGACATATCCTTTTAATTTATTTTACCACATTGAAAAGTTAAGAAAAACGCAATGATTTTCTCTCGTTAAAGCTCCATAATTATTCATAAAATTTGTCTGATGGGCGTATTTTTTGTTCCAATTTTTAGCAGAATTTATGTCATTAATTCCCCCACTCGCTGATTAATCAGAGCCCTCTTCGTTCAATCACATTGCAAATGAGACGACAACGCCACGTTTGTTTAGCAATTTTCTCATGGCTTGCCTAATATTTGTATACATATGTATGTATGTTTGTATGTATGTATAAGATAAGCCATTGCTTCAAGTCATGCTCAAAATTATGACACCTTTTATTTCTGTTATCAGTCTCAAAACCCAAAGAAAATTCCCTATGGAATATTATGGCTTATCGTTTTTATTTTCTTTTTGAATGAAAGCACTTTGAAGGCCTGTAACGGACGGACGGACGCGTCATTCCAATATTGACATAGCGTGACAAGTGAATTATTACAACATAGCAAGTGTGATTAGACAATAAACACACAAGCACTCAAACATATCTGAGTATTTACAACTGTCTGTAAAGTATTCTAAACTAAAAAAGAATTAAAAACGGAGAAAATCAAACAATTATCTAATCTGACGCACACACACACAACGCCACACCAATTTGGAATAAAACCTATTTGAATTTTATCATAAACTTTATCTCATTTTTTCTTCCCATATTTTATTTCAGAAATTGAATGCCTTCTTGGCCCAATATGCCCGTTTCTTCACTGCCGATTCCGGTTTGCGTGAAGTCTTAGCCCAGAAAATTCCCGCTGAACAGGAACGCGTCAAGAGCTTCAGGAAGCAATATGGCTCCTTCAAGATGGGTGAAACTACCATCGACATGGTGAGTAAAATATGTCTCTCGCATTAAATAAATTTTGTTCATAAAAAACCAAGAATAATGACGTCAGCAGTTCCTCCATCAAGTTGATAACTATTCAAAAGAAATTGTAAAATTATGATTACGTAATACAAATGAATATGAATAATACTCTGCTGTTTGTCTGTTTCTATTGAAATATCCTCCAATGGAAATGTTACTGGAATTGTTATTATTATCGCGCCCTTCCTTTGTCATCTAATGAATATGGCATTTGTTTTTTACATAAAAAATCATTTTCACTTCAGATGGCCGGTGCTTCTTATGCATTTTCTTTCGATGTTGGAAACAACAACAAACGAATCATGATATTATGGCCAAATGCCAAGCGATTAAATAATAGACAGGGGAATGACGACGACAACAGCAGCAGAAGCAGAATATCATGAAATTGTTAAATTTTCTAATTTTCTTTCAACTGAAATGCCGGTTTCCTCCTCCCCCTTTCCACACACCGCTACTATAAGGCGGCGGCACTTCTAAAATTAAATGTGCATTTTCTGCTTTTCGTGTTCTAAATAATTTTCATGTGATTACACAACGATTCACTTTCTTGTTGTTTACTTCGAAAGACATTGGGAAAGGGGAAATGGTCGCATGATGAATGCACAGACTTTGTTTCAAATCGATTGACTTATATTTTTATGCATTTTTGTTGTGGGTTTTCACCCACCCTCTCCCATTCAGAAGAACTGCATATTGATTTTCGGTTATGTCATTTTTTCTTCTTCTCTTTACAATAATTGCATAATGAGAAAAAAAAAAAAAACGAAACACGAAATGACATTCCGCTTGTTTGTGCCAGTTTTTTTGCTAAATTGTATTACAATGAATTGTGGAACCACCAGGTGGACACAACTTGTCCCAAAATGTAACACATTTTTAGGTCATATATACAACAACAACAAAGTAGCAAATTAGCTTAACCCAAAATATGCCCTAATACTTGCAGATGTATGGTGGTATGCGTGGCATTAAAGCCTTGGTTACCGAAACTTCAGTCTTGGATGCTGATGAGGGTATCCGCTTCCGCGGCCTTTCCATTCCTGAATGCCAAAAGGTATTGCCCGCTGCTGAAGGTGGCGCTGAACCCTTGCCCGAAGGTCTCTTCTGGCTCTTGATGACCGGTGATGTTCCCACCAAGGCTCAGGTCAAGCAGTTGTCTCGCGAATGGGCTGAACGTGCTGCCCTGCCCCAACATGTTGTCACCATGTTGAACAACTTCCCCACCACCTTGCACCCCATGTCCCAATTTTCGGCTGCCATCACTGCCTTGAACCACGACAGTAAATTCGCCAAGGCCTACTCAGAGGTAAGTGCAGAACGACGAGGCGGGTTTTATTTCCGCATGTTTTATTAATGGTTTGTCTTGATTTGTCTTTCTGCAGGGTGTTCACAAGTCCAAGTACTGGGAATACGTCTATGAAGACAGCATGGACTTGATTGCCAAATTGCCTGTCGTTGCTGCTACCATCTACTGCAACACCTACCGCAATGGCAAGGGCTCCAAGACCATCGACCCCAATTTGGATTGGTCCGCCAACTTCGTCAAGATGTTGGGCTATGACGATCCCCAATTCACCGAATTGATGCGTCTCTACTTGACCATCCACAGTGACCACGAAGGTGGCAACGTATCCGCTCACACTGTTCACTTGGTTGGCTCCGCCTTGAGCGACCCCTACCTCTCCTTCGCCGCCGGCATGAACGGTTTGGCCGGTCCCTTGCACGGTTTGGCCAACCAAGAAGTCTTGGTTTGGTTGCGCAAATTGCAAAGGGAAGCCGGTAACAATCCCTCTGAGGAACAACTCAAGGACTACATCTGGAAGACCCTCAAGTCCGGCCAAGTCGTTCCCGGCTACGGTCACGCTGTACTCCGCAAAACAGATCCCCGATATACCTGCCAACGCGAGTTCGCCCTCAAGCATCTGCCCAACGACGAACTCTTCCAATTGGTGTCCAAGATCTACAAGGTCGTGCCACCAATCCTCACCGAAACCGGCAAGGTCAAGAACCCCTGGCCCAATGTAGATGCTCACTCCGGTGTCCTGTTGCAATACTACGGCATGAAGGAAATGAACTACTACACTGTCTTGTTCGGCGTCTCCCGCGCTCTCGGTGTGTTGGCCTCCCTCATTTGGGATCGTGCTTTGGGCTTGCCCATCGAACGCCCCAAGTCCTTGTCCACAGACATGCTCATGAAGATGGTTAAGAAGTAAATTATTAACAAATACCGTACACAGTAATAAAACCAAAAACTATTTCTAAAAACAACAACAAAGATATCTGTCAAGTCTGGAGGAACTCGTCAAAATTATTCGAAAGCGTACACTGATTTCGAATTATTTTGATTGTATTGCCATGATGCGAGGATATATAACTAGAGAAGAAACCACAACAAAACAACAACAAAACACATTTACTTAACGAATTAATGCTTAATTAATTTTAATTTAATTTAAATAATACAACAAACAAACAACAAAAATAAAAACCCTAAAATAAACAAAACATGTTGTGAATATTATTTGTTTATACAAAAGAGAAAATAATAGTAGTAAATCAAAACGGTTATACTCAAAAACTGTCCTTTAGCTGTAATCAGATTCAATATTTTGGATTTCCTCATAAACAATGTATTATTATTATTTTTTTTTTTTCAATTATCAAAGCATAATGCGATAGGTGGGTGACCTATCTCACACCTAAAATATCTAGAACAATAATCTACCAAATGAAATTATTCAAATATTTTGAATAAAAACAAGTTTGTAGTGTTCATCGTTGTAATGAAAATGAAACGTGTAGTTGGAATTTTGAAAACAATAAAGTAATTGAAAAGAAATACTATCTTAAAATTAAATGACATTTATTCATGTATCAAGTTGACAATACACTCATTATATAGAGTTAAAATCTATTATTTATGACAAGTATTGATATTCCATAACGTAAAGATGTTTTGGACAAGTTGAAATTTACTTGATTATGGCATTTCCAGCGGTGTATTAATAGTACAACGGAAGGTCACGTATTGTGTTCAAAATAAATAAATAAAAACTGAACAACACAATTTGTTTTATGACTTTTTTTCCAGTACTAGTAATTGTAGAAACTTGTTATAATTGGGCTTCAGATTTACATGCAAACTATTTTTGGACTTAAATAAATTCTTCAAATATAATTTTAAATTAGCATTACAAAATAAAAAAAATAATAAAAATACAATAGAAACCTTATATTGGCCATTATATAGCTATTTGAAATTCGAGGCTTTTTTGAAGTTGAAAAAATGACCCTTATTCTATTTGTCGACGGGGTATGTTGGGAATCGTTATTCTAAGTATCAATATTGCCATTTGTGAGGTTTATCAAACATTTTCATAAATTAGTTGGAGAGTTGACGGTGTTGTCGTCAAGTAGAAGAAGGTTGAATACCTCTCAATCAATCCCTGAAATCCAAGGAATCCCCTGTAATTTTTGCTCCATGTGAGCAGTACAGCATTACAAGCTTAAATGTATCTATAGCACCCTAGTCAATTGTTTTCTGTGTCAAAATTAGACTGTTAATACCCTATACAAGTTCAATTGTTCATCTGCATATCCCTACCTGTTGACAACTTTTCAATCTGTAGAACCCTTAATATCCACAATGAGCGCCGTTTCCCCGTGATTGGTTGGCTTTGTATTTATATAATAATAAAAAATAAAAAAAGTAACAATTAAGCCGGACAACATCAATATCGGGAACAAAATATGGCCTACGATCTAAAAAAAGAGTCCGACGTTAAGGAGTACATAGACAAACTTGGAGTGGAGTACCGCTTCGGGTGTTATTCTGAAAAGAAACCGGAAGGTGGGAAGAGTTTTAGTTTAGTTTGTAAAGATTGCAGATTCTAACCTCCTTGTTTCTTAAGAAAAGTTAATAACACATTGCCAAAACTCTGGAATTAATTTTGTGCCTTTTCTTCTTGTAGTCTGTCATTTGCTGGGTGACTATTTGGAGGGCATCAAAAAAGATTTCGAGAAAGCCTCCAAGGTATACAAATCGACATGTGACGATTATGGTTACGCAAAATCCTGCTTTAAATTCGGTAACTATAGCTTCTTGGGTAAGGGAAAGAGCGGAAGCAAAGGAGACCCTAAAGCCGCCTTTAGTTACTACGAAAAGGGTTGCAATTTGAATGATTCTGATTCCTGTCTGCACTCTGGTCTTTTGTTGGTGTCTCGTTCTATGCCAAAGGAAATCGACAGAGATGTCCAGAAAGTGAGTAATATGGAGAATGAATACATTCCATACGATCAGTGAAACATTTACGTTTTTCCAGGGCTTGACTTACCTGACAAAGAGTTGTGATATGAACAATGCCACAGCATGTTTTTACTTGTCTGGAATGCACATTTCGGGTGTCCAAAGTAAACCCGAAGAATACAATCCCCATGCACCACCAACAACCCAGAAACCTGTCAAGGACAGCGATTATATTGTACAAAAGGACATGAAAAAGGCATTTGAGTTTGCGTTTAAGGCATGTGAACTACGCAATATGTATGCTTGCGCCAATCTAAGTCAAATGTATGCGCGCGGTGATGGCACCGAAAAGAATGAAAAGGAAGCAGAAAAGTACAAGAAGCTTGCCATCGAAATGCAAGAAGAAATCAAGAAGCAACAGCAGACTCTACAATTCCAACAAGGCCTAAAGAATCCGCAATAATATTGCAGTGCAACATTGTTGTACCGATGCCTATGAAGAGCTATACCTTGGAGGCAGCATACAATTGTGTTTACTTAAGCAATGTATATACCCAACGTTTTATTTCCAGGCTTTCCTTATGACGCCTTCTTCGAGTACGAAGTTAAGATATCCTCTGCAACTATTTTTCAGTTGTTATAGTTTGAATTTTGAATTGACGACGGTACAATATGATTAGTTTTATTTGTTACGTTTTTCTTTTTCTCTTCAGATCCCACGTATTAAGATAAAGTAATTTTTTTTTACAATAAAAGATATAGTTCTTTTGTTAAATTTTTAGTTATTTGCATTAGAGCATATATAAATAAACGTATATATTTTTGAAAATGACAAGTAATAAAGGAAAACAATCGAAAAAATGCATTGCTATTCATTTTCTTAAATGAGTGGAATCATGCGAGCAAACGTTTGAAGAAATAATAACTTATTTAGCTTTTTTGTGATACACAATACTTTGCAGACGTTTCTGCATCCTTCAAAAGAAAAAGAATATATATCTTTTAAAATGAGTTAGTGTGGTGAAAACAGGGACCAAATTCTCTCATTCCTTATTGAACATTTTTCAATAGATACTAGTTTTAATAGTTTATCTTGATGTAAATTTAAATTTTGATAAAAAAGTCTTCATATCGAATGTTAAGAGTTGAAGGTACTTATTCCAAAACTTTATTTCGATCGAAATTTTTTCGATGAAAGAATTTGACCCCTGTCCTTTGAACTTCTGGAATATTGTAAGTTTATACAATATGAATGCTACTACAGGGAAAAATTTGCAAAAACAATTTGGAAAGTAACGTTAATGGCGATGCTACAATATTTTTATGGAGAATCAAATATACCTTAAATGTGGATTTATATAATAGAAGCTTTAAAAATATTAAAATCTGGAGTTTTTACTGAAAATTGTACTGTACTCCTTCCCATTTTAAATATATTTTTGTGTTCTCTCCTCAAAAATAGCGTTTTTGGAAGAAAAAACTTCCCAACAAATTCCAATGGGATTAAGCAAAGAATTAATTAAAAATATATAAATACTTTTCTTGGGGTCTCTTCATAAATAAAACCAAATTCGTTTTTTAAAATCTGTTTTTATTCAATATTTAAATTAAAAATCTTATAAAATAAATTAAATTTCTTTAAATTGTTTATATTTAACGCAAAAATGTTTATACATTATTATTTTTCTCGAGAATTTTTTGCAAATTTAAAATGTTCCTTACACGATGACACGAACTGAGTGTTTGTTTTTGGGGCGGTCTATATATTATTTAATATGCATTCATGTATTTTTTATAATAAATGATAAATTTCGAGACAGGTGCATAATCAGGACATCTGCGAAGACAAGAAAAAAGTTGTTGCTACAACAAGATCCCAAGATGGAATAATAATAATACTTAAAATAGACTTAAACAATGATTCTCTTTCGGTTTTTAGATTAGAATTATATCTTTGTTGGTGTTGGTGTTGTGTGGGTTTAGGTTTGGGTGCGCGTTACGTGAAATTCCTGTTCGATGACCTTAAACGTCATTTGTTGTAAGGACTTGCTCTTCTGCTGATTGTGTGTTATGCGTTCTACAGATGATTTGGTTCTTCTTCTTCTTCTTTTGTTGTTGTTGTTGCAAATAAATGGACTTAAATCGATTTTGTTTTAACTGATACCTTAACTTAACAAAACGACATTAGCATTAGTATCTGCACACTCCGAGCTGCCATGTTCAGAGCATTGTAGAAGCTTTTCACGATCTGCCACATGTTGGCAAATTCACCCGGAAGAAGACGTTCAATTCGATCAAGGAGGCAAACACCAGGAATACCAAATATATCACCAGACAGGCAGTGCCCACTTTTCGATCCAGTTTAAATTTGTTGCAGGAGAAGGTCAAATACAAAAGAAACAGGGTGGAGAGCAATGTTATGGCAGAATATTCCAAGCCAGCGGAATTAATGCCAACATAATTTTGACCTGGCTGAATGGGGAAGAAGACAGCTTTGATGAGCCATGGTACACCCAAACACAGTAGGATATCAAAGGTGTTGGAGCCAATTGAGTTGCAAATACCCATGGAGCCATGACCTGAAAGAGAGAAACAAATTCAGCGTAATGGATATGAGCAAATGTGAAATGTTAGTAAAATACCTCGTTTGGCTACAATGACACTGGAAACCGCTTCGGGCACACTTGTACCGGCCGCTAAGAATGTAATGCCCATAACTGAGTCGGGAATTTTTAAAGTATCGCCTGAAATAGGGGAAGGAAGAATTTGAGATTTTTTTTGTGTTTTCTTCTCTTGCGCCCCGCTTACCAATTATTGTTATCATCCATGCAACCACATACGACAGCGATCCAATCCAAACTATGCACATCACAAATGTCAGTGGAAAGATTTTATTGTTCTTGGCTTTTTTACAATCCGGTATGGCAATGCGGAATAGCAAATGTATTGGCCAAATAATAATCCATGTGAACTGGGCAAAGCAGCTCTTGCCCCAAGGATATGTTAGCAGGGAATAGCCCTCTTCCTCCTCCTCGCCATTTGTTGAGGCTGTGTCGTTGGCTGTAGCAGTCGGAGCTTCAACATCTGTGTTTTCTGGTGTTGTTGCCGGTGGAGATTTCACAACACAACCGGAATTGTTTGTAGACACCGTGGAAATGGTGGTGGTTATGGTGTTACTTATACAGGTGGTGGCGATGGCCGGTGTTGTGGATGTCGGTGCTTTGGCTGATTCGTTGTTCACCCCACCGTTCAATTGAATTGTAGATAAGTTGTGACATATGCGATTCTCCACAATTTCTAAATGGGGAAGGGAAAAGAATTAGCCAAATATGCTAAAGTAAATAACATCAACGACATAGACAAAGGCGTGGCATGACGTGAAAGGCGCCGAACAAACAGGAAGTAAACATAGAATAGAACATTACACGTGTGAGCATATTTACAAGTGGATATTAGGGATATTAGTGTGATGGATAGGCAAAATTCGAACTGGTGACATTCTCAGAAAATCTCTTGTTTGTTTCAGAAAAGCAGCGAATTATTGAAAATAGTTAGAGAAGACAATCTGACGTTTGAAAAACATATCTCTTGGAATGTTTTTATTCGATAATAGTGATAGAGAACAGGTAGAGGGGGAGGGCAATAAATATGCAGTAGGTGAGCCTTTTTTTGTTGCGGAAATTAGAAGAATCTAGTAGTAGGTTGGTAAAGAGAGAAAGGTGTAATTACACAAAAAATTGAAGGGAACTTTAAATGAAAATGTAGTTTATTTAAATAAATTTTCATTAAAAGCTTCCTTGTGTTTCGAGATCTAATCACGACATACATTTAAAGATTAGCTTATTTAATTAAATTGCAATTTTGCAATTAATGCCATGGCTAGACCTCAGTTTACAAGAATTTTGTTTGTTACACGAAAAGCTATGGAACAAAACAGGAGTAGGGATTAGGCAAAAGTTTAAATCATATTTAAGTAAACCTGGTTCTTTGTCATTGCTGTTCTTGGTCTGTATGCTACAATTGGAGGAGCGGCTGCGTGAACGAGCTTGTTTAACACCACCTGTTTCCATGTTTTTTATTTTTATTTTTCATTACAACAAAATCATCAATATCAGCGACCAGAATTATCAATTAAAATTTCCATTCTTACCCTTGGCACATTTTTGAAAGGTCTTGTCAAAATACATAACGGCTAAATAGACGGCATAGAGAGACACCAATATCAAGGCCTCGTACCATTCAACGCGCTCATCGTGCATTACACAGATCAAAACGGCCACGGTAAAACCATAAGCTATGCTGTCGCGTGTCAATGGCCACCAATCCAAGGGTATTGTCTGCAAAATGAATAAATATCCGAATATAGTTTCGTAATATTGAATGTAAAATAAAAGCTTACCATTCCGGCTCCAATGCCGCAACAGGCCGCCACTGCCAAAATATTAAAGACAGCTGAGCCCACAATGGTGCCCACACCAATGTCACCCTCTGTAATAAATGTACCTATCACATTTACAAAAAGTTCTGGAGCTGAAGTAGCAGCGGCCATGAATGTGGCTCCCGCAACATCATTGGACATATTAAGGGCTGAAAAGATGCGATTTTAGAAGATGGTTTCTTTGGCATTGCAAGAGGTTGGCCGGTTTTACCTGCACATATTTTTTCCACGGCGGGCACAAAATATTCATCACATACTACAGCTAAGGCTACGAATAAATATAAACTGGCTATAACATGAAGTACAACAGCACCCGACTGTCTCTGGGCCTCGGTGAATAAATCCCGTGGAAAATCATCTATAGCAGGCTGTGTACAATTTATATCTAAGGGAGAGGGGGAAGAAAATAGAAGGATTAATAGCAAATGAGTTAATTCCGAGTGGGTAATTTAAATTTATAATTCTTAAACCTGGATTATCATAATCGATCTGGCATGATATTCATATTTTTAAAATTGCCATATTTCTTTTTTATTTTTCTAAATCTGGTTCCTTAAAAACTTTCCTGTACAAATTGCCCACCAACTTCTCGCTCAGAGAGTAAGGTAGTTATATTCTCTTTTACAAAACAACTGTACAGTAAAATGCAAACAGTCAACATTCCTGAGTAACCAATCAGCTGATTAACCGAAACAAACACATTTGTGCGCCATAATAGAAACAAAAGATAAAAAAGAAAGTTTTATAAAAAATAGTTTTGTGATGTCCATAAAATAATTTAATTTTAAGAAAGACGAAGTGTTGTGCCAGAAGAAAATTGCCCGGCAAGAATTTGCAAACAATCACCAAAAGAGTTTGCTATCAAAAAACATATTGTGATATGAGATTCAAAGGGTGTCAAATCACAATAGTGCAAAAACTACTTAGTTTAATATCAAATATTTATTACATGTAGTCCTCTTATCCGACCTTATATAGGCCTTGGAATAAACATTTTGAGAATGAAATGTTGCCAAAGGTAAAATTTGGAAAAAAAATTGGTAAACAATTAATTTCACGGGTATACATCCTAAGTTCAAACGTGATTTATATTTTCAATTTAAATTACTTTAATAAATTAAATAATGAATTCTTAAGTTATATTTTTTGTTGTTTTTTTTTTCTTTTTTTGGATAAGTTGTCAATTTGTGTCTCTGTTAAGTCTCTTATTTAAGTAGAGTATTTTTACAAAATTCTGGAGGATTCCCAATGATCAAATTGTTAAAACCTACATTTTCTGTCAACTATGATGGAATTTACTATTTTGAGTCTCCGGCGATGCTCCTTGCAAAATGTGTTTCAATCTCTGACGTCTATTGTAGTCTTGGAATGGTTTTCAATATTGGTCTGCCTAAAACTAGCGTATTTTTCCCACACATATGCTTAAAAAAATTAAAGCGGAAATCGGACCATGGGTCGTATGCGTATTGCAAATATTGATCATACACACAGGTGTACCGCATATTCATCCTTTTGACATCAACGACAAAAACTAATTTATCGAAATGCCATTTAAATGTTTAAATTTGGCGGCAAACTGTTTTAATTCTTCAATTCTTCTAAATTGGAACAAATGCCGACTTAACAGAGCAAAAAAAAAAAAACCCTGACTTGTCAGCTACTAAAAATGACGACAACACAATAAACAAACTTAAATTATATCTATTATAAAGCGGCGGTACTACTTTTACACAATTTAAAATTAGAAAAAAAAAACAACAGCAACAACAACATTGCAAACAATTTTAATTGATTTAGAAAATTGTGAAGAGAGAAAAAATGAAAATTAAAAACGCAACTTAAAAATAATTTCAATAGCAATGATTGCCAAGAACAATAACAAATTTGTTTCAAGATTGAACGAAAAAATACAACAACAACAAGAAGAAGAACAATAGCAGCAGCATCAAGCCAAATGATAAACGGAAGCTATAAACTAAGTATTCAATGCGGCAATAAACAATGAGCGATAAAGATCTTACATTTCCACCAGAGAAGATATCCAAATGTAGCGAACGAAACGAAATATTATGGATAATTAAATGCTGTTGAGCCTCGCCGATACGAGGCAGATAAAGTCAGAATGCGGATTTTCTCTAATGTTTTGGATTTTGGCATTCGTTGTGAAAGCACACAGACACACACACACCCCACTCTTACTCTCAAGTAAAAACACAAAAAAGAAACAACAAAAAGACCGCCTTTGAAACACCCTGTGTCTCTGTGTTTGTTTGTTTGTTCGTTCGTTCGTTCAACGGTCAAGTAAAATGCTTTCTCTCTCAATTAAATGATTCTTAAATTGCTTAATTAAGTCTGAAAAAATAAGTAACAATAAAATAAAATCGCAAACTACTGGCTACTGAGAGACATACGGACAGACAGATAGACAGGCAGGCTGGATGGATAGCCTGGCCTGGCCAACAAACCAAAATCACAAATCTCCACTCTGGTGCGAACACATTTCCACATACGCACACATACATACAAATATACATTTGTAGATTTATTTGACTTTGCAATACGCGCGGAATTGAATTGAAATGTTTGCCTACTAATGTGAGAGAACTCTGAGTGTGAGTGTGTGTGTGTGTGACAGTTATTGTCTCTTTTCTCTTTACACATTGTTGGGGGGAAGAAAATCTGTTGTTGGTGTTGTTAGGTTTCTGAGCGTTTGTTTATGATGAGAATTCGATGGCAAATTGATTTTGAAATTCTAACAATTGATTTGAGAACAAAAAAAAAAAAAAAACGTATGCATTTGGAAAATATTTGCATACTAGTTTAGTTATTATTTTGCAAAAGCTACAACAACAAAAACGACATTGACAAAAGCTTATAGTAAATGCTCTTTCTTAAATGGAACCTTGAAAAATGATTGACGTTTGGGGTATTGTGTTTTATTATCTCCGTTTTTTGGAAAGATAATCGGTGAGATTTGCGAAATTTAAATGCCATTATCACTGTCCAATATTATTTCAGAAAATTGCTACTGATAATGTCGGGGACACGTGGGAAAATGTATCTTTGAAATTAGTCAAATTAAGGTTCTGTTTTTTTCCTATTCCCTGTGTTTATTATTCATTTTTGATGTGATCCAAAAATTGAAAATAATTTAGCATCGGTCGTGATTAAAATAGAGAAGTTAGAAATAAATCTAAATATGTAAAAATACTTTGATTTGATTAGTACGTCGCAGGGCGAAGTCTTCGTACGTCGCAGGTTAGCCATCTTTTATAGTGTTCACATCCACTGCGTAAAACTTATATAGTTCCATGAGAAATAAAAAATTTAGTAGTTCCCAAAGGATATGCTTATTCAAAGGACTTGGACTGAATTTTAAGTATTTGAATGGTTCTTCATTTTTCGGCATTTTGGCCAGACAATAGTCCAACGGCTTGGTATCCAGAGATTTTGGTGGCCATTCTGCGCTGGAAATGAAGCGAGAAACCTAATTTTGTAAACATTCTTGGGTGGCGCGCGCTGAGTGAGTGATGGTGCTGAGTCCTGTTGAAATGTCCAAGGTCTGCGGCCAAAATATTTTCGTGCCCAAGACTTTAATACATCCTCCAGAATATTTTCGCGGTAATATTTTTGGCATTTATTCTGATGCCACGGTCGATTAATACGAGCGGAGAGCGACCATCGGCTGTTATGGCGGGCCACAACATCACTATGGCCGGCGCTTGAGTTCTGGTGGCCAACCGAAGGTGCACATTTTCAGCTGACCTCTTGTTTTGTTTGTTTACAAACTACTGGACAACGAATGTTTTCTCATCGGAGAAAATCAAATTCGGCAGTTCACTACTTTCGGCTAAGCTAAGCAACTCTTTAGCTCGTTTAAGTCTATTTTCGTTCAGCTGCGGTGTAAGTTCTTGCACTATTTGGAATTTCAATGGCTTTACCCCGAGCTCATTTTTCAATATTTGCCGAATGGAATATTTCAATATGTTCAGATCACTGCAACGCAGTGGGGGTTTCCAACCAAATATAAAGAAATCACACTATCAGGCCTGAATCTCATCGCGAATAACTTTTTTTTTGGAAAATTCTCACATTGCATTTTCCAACGAAATTTGGTATTTCAAGTTCGCATTTTAATGATAGAACATTTTTCACCATTTCAATGGTGGAGGGTACCACATGTTTGGCAAATCCTATCTCAAGTTTTTTTTTTTATCCCAATAACTCCCTAATTTGGATGCAGATTGTAATACAGAGAGGGATAACTATCACTCTTCTAATATCTGACTTGCTTTTTCAATAACTTTCCCATCTCTGATTGAGAATTACTTCACTCATAAGCAAAAACAAAAAATAAATTCAAAACTGTAACATCTAATTTATGATTTATTTATCTCTTTGATTTAAAAAAACAATATGACGATAATCTTGCGTGCCTCATCAAATTAGGCTAAACGAAATTTAGCGTTGAGAATTATTGAATAATGATTGCGATAAATGCGATGTCATCTGACTAATGATCATAAAAATATCATTTAAATTAATTTAATTTACAATTAATTATTTATAGTTGATATATAAAAAACAACAATTAGGTTTGAACCAAAAACAAAAAAAAAAAACAAAATTCCAAAAAGGTGGATATAAAATAGTGAATAGATGTAGTTTTTCTTTGAAATGCAGTGACTGCAAAAAAACCGTGCCGTAGAAAGTTTTCACATATTTAGGTCGAAAAAATACCAATTTTCTTCTCCTTTTTTGAAATTTTCTGACATTTACTCTTCAATATTCATACAGCAATAATTGATTGATCATACGCCAGGTGGTACACAGATTTAGCATTTGTCTTATTGAACATGTAACACACATACTCCTACATAAGAAATATCCTCAACCTTATTCCAAGTCCAAAATTGACGTCATAACTATCAACGTCATCATCATCGTAATATACATCCATACATACGAACAAATTTGTTTTATTAATTTTACATTTTCTTGTACTCTTCAAATGTATTTCTTTCGTTTTAATTCTCTTTGATAAGTTCATTTATCCACTTTTCTTGTATACCGACAAAATCCACTTGAATCACTCTATGGCTTCAGATGATGATGCTGATGATGATCGTTGATATTTTATTCTAAATTGCTTTGGGTGTGATGTTCTTAATCATCACATCACATCACTTTGTTGTTGTTGTTGTTGCTGCTGTTGTATTTTGCTCTTGATGCCGTTAGCAGTTGACTGCTATTATTATTTGTTATCTTTTACATACTCATCGTTCGCTTCGAGATCTATGGACCACAACCTATGATCATCTTTAATTTAAACTCGTATTATCGCGCTTCTAGTTAAGGCATTTACTCTACTTTACGGATCTTTCATGGTTTTCTATGAGCACACACATACACACACACACGTACACTCATATGTGCACAGAGATTGTAGGTAATCTTTCAGACGTTTGTGATTTCATTTGCCGTATGTGTGTGTGTGTGTGTGTATGGGTGAATCTCTGCTGCGTGGTGAGTTCCTAAGCCGTGGATAATCACCACCTGGGGATCTGTTTTTTTCTTTTTTTTTTTTTCTCGTAAAGAGCAATTTCACTTGCTTTCTCAGTCCACAGACTCTGATGAGATAAATGATTTTTATTTGGTTCCTTTCTTCAAATTTGTTGTGCAATCATTGTTTATTGTTAGACACAAATCATTTGCATAAAAAGGTGCTCAGTTTCATTTAAGAAAAAAAAACTTATTCGAAAGAGAGAAATCATTTAGCTGGAAATAATAGAAATTTAGAATGAAGTTATGTAGAGTTTTGGAAGCATTTAGTCTATAAAGAATACGAAATGCATTGGAATTAGAAGACTAAGGGACAAGGAAGATTGAAAATCCAGAAAAGAAATCTGTTATTTGTTGATACATCATTGAAAAAACCGTTTTAACGACGTGAAAGGAAGTAAATAGTTAAAGTCGGAGCCATTTTTATAAACAAGAAGTCTGCGAATTCCTTTTTCCTATCCAATTGACCCGAAGAAAATGAAAAGAAATGAGAACAATTTTGTGGATTAATGTGACTAGGATTATCAAAATACAGAATATTGGTGGGTATCGTTACATGTGCGCTTTAGGAAAACGGGGACCTACGTCAAATAATGTGAATATACATACTTTATGGTGTCGACTACGAATATTTAGGGAGTAAATGTTTTTATACCCTCCACCATAGTATGGAGGGTATATTCATTTTGTCATTCCGTTTGTAACTCATCGAAATAATGATATTAGACCCAACTAAGTATATATATTCTTGATCAGCGTAAAATTCTAAGACGATTTAGCCATGTCCGTCTGTCTGTCTGTTGTAATCACGCTATCTTTCGAATGAATTGAGATAGAAGGCTAAAATTTTGCACACATGTTTATTCTGTCAGTAGGCAGGTTAAGTTCGTAAATGGGTCATGTGGGTCCCCGTTTTCATATAGCCCCCATATAACGGTACCTCCCTATATTCGGAATTTTGATGATTTTAGCGACATTATTCACCGGAATTGTTTGAAATTTGGTGTTTGAAGTTCAAAATGGATACTACAGGCTAAGGCAGAAAATTGTCTATGCAGGTCCACGTCTTCGTATAGCCCCCATATAACGGTACCTCCCAATATTCGGTATTTTGATGATTTTAGTGTCATTATTCACCGTAGTTGTCTCAAATTACGTATTTAGAGTTCGTAATGGGAACTACACTCTGTAACAGAAAATTGCCTATGCAGGTCCAGGTCTTCGTATAGGCCCCATATATCAGTACCTCCTTATATTCGGTATTTTGACGATTTTAGGTACAATATGCACCGAAATTGTTTGAGATGCCGTACTTGAAGTTCGTAATGGAAGCTACAGCCTGTGACAGAAAATTGTACGGTATTTTGATGATTTTGGCTACATTATTCACAGTTTATTTCAAGTTTCAAATTTGAATATGGTAATGGCTTGTGACAAACAAAGCCTATGTCGGTGCAGGCCCTAATATAACGGCTATATTCGGTATTTTTAAATTGTTAACAGAATTTTTGGCGATTTTTATCTTTTTCAAAAAATTTCTTACTGATTTTTTACTTGTTTTTCTTTATTTGACAATCCCACAATATCGGATTTTTTACAATATCAAGTTAAAAATATAATTTTAATTTTTTGTCATCCCTAAACGTAATATGCTTTTCTGTCGTAACACCGAATATCAATAATATATTATATCACTCCATATAGTACCAATTTCCTAAACTCAGCACAAAAATGTTTGATTTAATGATTGATCATAATTTAATTTCCTAATACTTTGTAGTATTCCTTCGTTGAAATGTTGCAAATTTTTCCAACCAACCAATATTTTTTATTCAAAAAAAAAAAAAAAAAATCAGCCCTTATCAGGACGCACCTAAAAAAATCAGCTGAGCAGTGTTTAAATTCTGTCACAGATGCATACTCATGACACAATTGCAGAAGGTAGAACAAATATACCTCCTAATACAATTTTTTTTCTTTTGGAGCCCCATCCTGTCATAACATGTACACAGTTTGTGTCTGAGTGTATATTGTTTTGAATACAAAAATAAAATAATTTTAATTTTTTCGAATATTGGTAAAGAAAATCAAAACCAATTGTTGTATATTTAAAAGTTTATTTAATACTATAAGACTCCGGTACAAAATTGCATTTTCCTACTTCCCTGAAGTTGAACAACCTTTCTGATTGAGCCAGGGGAGTAGATAAAGAAATAATGGTTAATGGAGGATTTTTTAATCCAACCTTCCCTGCCTTGTACTAGTTGTACTATGAAAGCTACTATTGGTCTGTTCCAGAACTGCAAGCAGTTTTACTACGATAACCGATTTTTCCTTTATGATATCGAAGAAAATGACAAAAGTAATAGATTCTCACAGATATTGGAACAGAGCATATGTCACTCGCCTCCACATGAATGTTTAAAATGAAATGACACAGAACATTTGCACGTTTCTCTGTTTTTCTTTTTTTAGCTACAGCTTACCCCTTTTAATTACAAATGAGTAAAATGGAAAAATTAAAGCAAAAACAAAAACAGATTTGTCTGGCATGGTTCGTTTTAATTTGTATGGTGGCGATGGTGGCATGCGACGGTGTTGATTGAAACCCCGATCGCCACCGACGCTACAAACATTTCCAAGTATAGCATCAAATCTAAACAAAAACAATGAAATGGGTATCATTTGCTGTTTTGAAAAATAGTTTATAACAGAGATTCCAGTTTCAGTTGTTTAACTGCAAACCGGCAGTCCGGTATTTATTTTTGTTTAGATATTCCACATTATTTGTTTTTGGCGCCCAATAGTATACAAAAAGACACTAGGGAGAAATAACCACCAGATTCGATAAAAAAATCGAAATATGGATATCCAGAACTGCAAATTTTACTAAGATAACCGATTTTCCAAAATTAGCAGATTCTTGCAGGTTCTGGAACAGACCAACAATAAATTCCATTTAAAAGTAAAATGCTCCTGAGCAACTGCTTTGCCGCCGCTATGTCTGTGATTATCACTTTAGCGGTTAATCAGATTAATGTTGATAACTATAATCAATGCCTACAATTGAATATCGATAACTCCATTTTGGACATGTTGATAATAACAATATTTAGCTAAGTAGGAAAAAGAGTTGAAAGGTCCGAGACAATCTACAGGTGTTCTATCGAAGAAAAAAAAAATAATCTGGGACAACTGGTGGATAAAATAAACAAACTCTTTAATATGATATGATATATATGATGTACAAATTTTTCCTTTATGATATCAAAGAAAAAAAATGCAAAACAAATAAATTCTTGCAGGTTCTGGAACAGAGTAATATGCAGTTGGCGTTTATTGTTTTGAATAATAAGGAAAACAATTTTAAATTATTTAAAATTCACTCGTATCAAAAAATACTAATTTTATCCTTTAATGGGGAAGACATTTTAGAGTTCTGGGATGAAGCAATATTTTAATCCCACCATGAATTAAAATTTGTGAAAACCCCAGCATTCTTTTTATGTTTTTTTTTTTTTTCAAATGTAAACATTTGTCAAAAATAAGTAAATAATCCACACAAATGATCACATACTTTAAAAGTCTACTTGGCAGAATTAAAACCCTCTACAGAGTTGCATTTTTCTTAATTTATTTGTAGTTAAACTTTTTGGTTGTGATTCTTATATTTTTAGATTTTCAATTGTTCACAAAAAAAATTGAAAGTAAAATCTGAATAAGAAAGTTTTCATTCAATAGTTTAGACTACGGTCTACGACCCGGAAGGTCTCGAGTACTGTCATTGTGACAGCAACTTTAATCTATCTGCAATTTTATAACAGCGCGATGCAGTTATTCCTCATTATGTTTCTAATTGTAGGATAAGTTCGTAAGAAACGAAGCATACTATAATTCTGTACATATATTTTAAAGCTCCAGATAAATATTTCAATAGCTTCGATTTGATTTTCCAAAAAAATAAAAATTAATTATAATTGATTTCTAGGCGAGGTAAGGGAAATCCAGTAAAATTTGAACAATTAAATGCTAGAAACACTTTTCTTGTTGTTGCATATATATCTAGCTAATATAACTTATGTTTAGCTGGCGGGATATACCATTTGTGTCACTTAAACCCCAGTAATCTTCCATTTTGCCGTGGAATGGATGACTGTCTGATCGTCTGCGGTAATGGAGTTTTTGTTGTTGGTGTTGGTTTTTGTTGGTGGGGATAAAAAAAAAAATAAACAGCAATCTTTTTAAACGGTTTTCATTTAATGTTTTGATTTTTCCGAATATTTAGCACAACAAAATTAAATGTAACAAATGGAAAAAAACCTCCAAACCCCGTCTGTTGTTCGAGTTCGAGGTTTTTTGTTGTTTCCCAATTTCAATTGGTTTTTATGTTGTTTTTTTAAAGGCTTGTTATTTTGTTTTGTTTCTGTTTTTTTTTTTTAATTCACTTTTAACTTGTTGTTGTGATTTATTGTAAATTTTGTTTTTTTTGTTGTTGTGTTTTTTTGCTGTTCAATTCACGGAAGATCGTAAGCGCGATCGTAGTTACGTTGGTTGATATTTTGAACACCGCTCGTCAGAAACTGTGCTCAGCCTCAAAAAATGTGCTCATCACACATATGACAATTGCGACAACGGCAGCCACGTTCGCTCCCCACAGCAAAACACACACATACACTCACGCACGCACACACACACTCGGTGAATTTAAAGGCGACCGACTCTATGACAAATTGTCGATTTTCTTATTCTTTTGGGGAAAATAGAACAGGCGTTATTTAACCACTACATGGGCAGCGCACACACACATACAATGACAGCGGTGGCAGAGCCAGCCAGCATCATTTTCCTTAGTGTGAGTGCGAATGCTCGTTGTTGAACAAATGAGATGCGGCGATCATCAACGGCAGCCGCATTCTAAACAAAAATAAAAGTGACGGCTATAATGGAGACGACCAGAATCGGATGTAGGACCGTCTTCACCGGGGTGTAGCTTAAGATCTGCTTCTTCTTATGCTGGGGAATTGCGCGAATCATGGATTGGATGGACGAAAGACGCTCACGAAACCGGGATTATTCAGTGGAAAAATCGAATGTAACTGTTTCTCCGGCACGAAGACGGCGGTCTAGTTGAAAGAAACGCTCAGTTTCCGTTGTTGTGGCGAATTTAATTATTGCGTTTTTTAGCCGTAGATTTTTTTCTGTCGATTTTCTATTCGTACGTCACTGTCGGCGGAATATCAAAAGCGTTGTGTCGCTGATATTTTTAATTGGTTGATCTTGAAATTTCATTCTTAGCTTCGATGTAAGCGGCAAACTTTTGCTTTTTGTAGGTTATGTAGGCATTTGCAAAGGAAACGCTTTCAAAACACACGAAATTTGGCTTGATTGTGGTGTTCTGTTACCGCTGTATTTTCGCGAACTGAATTCTCTTAAGCTGGGAGCTAATGCCTGAAGCTCAGACACAAAAACAGCAACGACGCTGACAATTTGATGCCAGTCGGTGAAAATGTGACGAAAAGTACTCTGGCCGGTGGCAATGATGACAATGAGGAATGTACATGACCAGAGCGGGGCAGGGCATTGGGGTCAGATTCAAAATGATGATTATGTGTGAGCATTAGAGTAATTTGTGCGAGCGGCTGAGTGCAATATGATCACGCTCAATCGTCACTGTGTTGGTGTTGGTGAAATAATTTGAAATGTGTGATGATTGCTGGAGATCGCTTTTTATTGCTGTCGCTGTTGGCGATGATGGTGGTGAGTTTTTCCAAAACTTAAAAACGTAGCAAACTTATTGTACAAATTGAATAAAAACATCTTTTTTTTTAGAGAATTTTAATATGTAGGTGTGTGTGTGTGTGTTTTTGGTCAGTTTTAATGCGGGTCAAATGCTGCTTAGATTCTGTTCTATTTGTGGGCATTGCGTTTTCAATGCTCACGTAATTGTGACATATTCCAGAAGTAATTGATGATCGATTGGCCAGAAATTTGTAAATGTGGGTCATTTGTATACGAATTGAGAAAAGAAGAGAACAACTCTCTTTTTAACTCTCACCTACTTTCATTATGGATCTCATTTCTCATTCATTTTAATTTTTTCTCTCTCCAAACTAAACCCCTCATTTGAAACAGCAGCCAAACAGTTTATTTCATTTGAAATCTTTTAAGGGATGCTATTTTTTTTATTAATCGGTAGAATATAATTGTCTAAATAACTTGTCATTTCTGGAAATATATTTCTCAAGGGAGTACAATTTTCAATTCCAATTTTCATAACCTCAGCCATATGGCTAGTGAGAATATATAACATTTGATAGGGCCAAAGCGTGCCTCATCAAAAAAAAAAAAGGTTTTAGACCCTGAGTCTCTTTAGCCAAATCCGTTTCAGGACACTTGGAGTTGATCTAGCAATGTACGTCCGTCTGGCTGGCTGGTGCTCACTCTCGAAGGGAGTATCCGATTTGGTTCAAACTTGGTGCATCGTAATATTATTGTCAAAATTAGCTCGAGTTCGGAGATGGGCAATATCGGTCCTCTCCTTCTTGTAACTCCCTTACAAAAAAGAGAGAGAATAATCTGATTTTACTCCAATTTTGCAAATCCTAATATTTGCAACGTGGTCAGGTACGAAAATGGACAATATCGGTCCACTGCAGCAAGTACCTCCCCCCACAAACGGTCAAAATTTGGAATAATTACAACTTATATAAAATGTAATGTAAGAGTCCAATTGTCTCCAACACAGATCACAATATTTTTTTTTAATCTAAGGTCTTGTGTGGAGATGGAATATATCGGTCTACTCCTTCTGGTACATCCCCCACAAAGGGTCAAAATTTTGAATATTCAAGAAGCTCATAAAACGCGAAATTAATATCCGATTCCATTCATACTTGGTACATCTCAATATTTCCATAAACAAAAGACCTGTTATAAAGATGGTAGAGATCGGACAGGGTTCAAAGTTTGGAATTACCAAAATTATAAAATAAAAAAAAATCGAAATAAGCATCCGGTTCTCTTCAAATTACACACATCACAATATTAATATTAACCCAAGGTCTGGTATGAAGATTGAATATATTGGTTCACTTCTTCTGGTATCTCCCCCACAAAGGGTCAGCATTTTGTATATTCATGAAGCAGATAAAACGCGAAATTAACATCCGATTCCATTCAGACTTGGCAAATCTTAATATTTTTATCAGCACAAGATCTGTTATAAAGATGGTAGAGATCGGACCATTTCTGCTGGTACCTGTCCCACATAGGGTTCAAAATTTTTAAAAACTAAACTCTCAAAGAAAGCGAAATAAGCGTCCATCTCTCTTCAAATATGCCACATACATCTGTCGGCAAAACCGACTGATACTATTTTACTTGTTTTATATTAGTTTTTTAATAACCCCCTAGAATATTTCAGTTCCCAAAATATCTGTTCTTACGCTTTCACATTTTCTTCGCCACACTTTACCCCCACTGCCATGGAATTGTATAAATGTATGATCTGAACATTTGTACGACTACAACTCATACCGTGTGTATGTGTGTGTGCATGTATCTGTGCAATATTATCACTTAAAATTTCTTTCTTTTCACAAATCATTTTTCTACTTTAATTTGAATACAATGGGACACCGTGTGTCCTATACGAGAGAATAATTCAAATGTAATCGTTTGTTTGTCATTAAACGACGACAACAACATCATCGGTCACATACCGACCGCATAATGCCCGCAGCACCTTTGCCATCTCCTCCTCCTGGGAGTAAAACTTAGTGGCTATGGTGGCGAATGTTTTTGTGGGGTTTACTTTAAGGAGCTCCAGCCACCATTCGGAATCAAACGTGCGCTGCTGGTTGATACAAAATAACATTTGGATTCTACACTGCCGTCTTCGTCCGTACAGCCAGCTTAGATACATTAAATCACAATCAATGCTGTGCAAGGTATGGTTGGTGGCTAGCTTGGTGTGGGTGATGGGTGCTTGGCATGTATGTCTGTGTGCGTGTGTGTGTATTATTATTTTTTCGTTTGGAAAAAAGCTAAATTTTCATTGTTGGAAAAAAGACGACAATGACAAGGAAAAAAGTTTGAGTTTCTCTCCTCCTATCCTCCACTCCGTAAAGGCAGGGCAACTGGACAAAAGTGTATCTTTAGAAGATTAAAGTGACAAAGTGAATTAAGTAAGATTTGGTGGTGGTGATGGCGATGGTGGCTGTCGCTGCTGTTGTTGTGGCATTCGTCTTCGACATCTTCTCTATTTGAGATATTTGTATGAATAAATATATCAGAATATATGTAGGTATATATGTACATCTGGTCAATCATATAAATCGGTTGTCGCCAGTAGAAACTGACTTTTATTGTTGCCCCGCACACATACACACACATGCCCACACACCTACACATGAAATAAATAAATTTCATTTAATTCTCCATTGAAGTGAATATTTGTGGTGCATAAGCACTTTTATATGGAAAGAAAATGTAAATAGAAATTTCAAAAAAAAAATATAAAAATAATAAATAAATAAAAAATTATTGAGCTCTTTTTATTTTTATCCACTTTTACTTCTGGCATGCATATATAGAGGTGTTTTTGCAGGGTTATTATGTATTTATTCGTTTGTTTTCAAAAACAATTAGTTATGGATGATTCAAGAAGAAGTTGTAGGTGTTGGTATCTGACATAAGTCTGCTAAAAATATTAAAACGTATCACATTTGGATTTTATATCAGCTACTTGACTTATTTTATATGAAACTAGCTGAACCCGGTGCGCTTCGCTACCCCTTTTGATTTTATATGCATTCAAAATTTTATTTACGAATATATGTTGGATAAAGAAAAACAAATTTAAAAATTAAAAAAAATATTGCACTAATTTAATGCGTTAATAAACAAAATCATTACAAAAGCAGTAACATGACATGCATACACGAAGGGTTTGTCCTTTGGATTTATTTATTTCATAGCAAATACCAAGCGTGCAGGAAACTGCAATTTTTTTAAGTAGAGTGGCATTTCTATTGCAAGTAGTGAATTCAAGATAGCAACATACTTCGCCGTAATAAGCGTATTTCAAATAAATTGTTGTGTTGTTTTTTAGTGTTAGCCTAAGGCGTTGTGGGTCAATGGTTCTTATTAAAATCATATCCCAATCTGATCCGATTTAAATATAATTTAAAAAAAATTACTTTTACACCAAACTCCGCCACACCTTTCATATTTAATTGAAATTGGTGCGTCAAATATGTGAAATCGGCCGAGAATATATATATGGGAGCTATATCCAAATCTTAACTAATTTCCAATTAATTTATCACATTTATTATTATAACAAAATTCCGCCACACATTCTGAATTTCATTGGAATCGGTCATATATATCGTGTTTGGTGCATAATATGTATGAAATCGGCCGAAATATATATGTTAGCTATATCCAAACCTCAACTGATTTCAATATAATTGTGCAATTTTTGCTGGTGCCAGATTTTGTCTCTCTCGCTTTGGGTGCATCAAATATGTGAAATCGGCTGAGTATATATATGGAGCTATAATCACATCTGAGCGTATTTGAATATAATTTGTCAAATGTGCATCAAATATGTGAAATCGGCGGATAATATATATGGGAGCTATATCCAAATCTGAACCGATTTTAATATAATTTGACTAATTTATTTTCTAATCAAAATCCCGTTACATATTCCAAAATTCTTGGAAATCGAACATACATATCGTGTATGGTGCATAAAATACATGAAATCGGTCGAAAATATATATGAGAGCTATATCCAAATCTGAACCGATTTTAATATAATTTGACAAATGTATATTTGTTTTAATTTCCGCTACACATTTCAAATTTCATTGAAATTAGAGATACATAGCGTGTTTGGTGCATCAAATACATGAAATCGGTCGAAAATATATATGGGAGCTATATCCAAATCTGAACCGATTTCAATATAATTTGGGAAATAAATTTTTTTAGATAAAATCTATCACACGTTTCAAATTTCATTGAAATTGGGGATACATAGCGTGTTTGGTGCATCAAATGCTTGAAATCGGCCGAAAATATATATGGGAGCTATATCCAAATCTGAACCGATTTCCATATAATTTGACAAATTTATTTTCGGATCAAATCCCGTCACATATTCCAAATTTCATTGGAATCGAACATTCATATTGTGTTTGAGGCATCAAATGAACGAAATCGGTCGAAAATATATATGGGAGCTATATCCAAATCTGAACCGATTACAATATAATTTAGCAAACTTATTTTTGTTCCAAATTCCGTTACACATTCCAAATTTGGAGACTGTATCTTTAACCGATCAATAGATATGTGCATATAAAATCTAAATTTTTGGGAGGTACCTCCGATTCTGATGCTATATCTCCAGTTCCAAGTGGAAATTCAAAAATGTATATAGCCTATGTTACTTTCAGGCGATGTTGCAGTATATATGGAAATTTTCAGAAAAATCTATTCAGCAGTTTTCGAGTCCATAAATTACAAACAAACAAACAAACAAACAAACAAACGTACAAACATTTTCCTCTTTTATAGATATAGAAGAAGAAGAAAGAAGAAGATATTTGATAATATTTCGAAAAGTTCACGTTTTATGAGAGTTATAATTTTTTTTAGTTCAAATTTTATATGCGTTATAATTAAATTTTGATCCTTTGTGGGGGAGGTACCAGAAGGAGTGGTCCATTATCTCCCATCTTCACACCAAATTTTGCTTAAGTAGAAGTACTGGGATGTGTGAAATTTGAATCGGAATCGGATGCTTATTTCGGGTATAATGATCTTCATGGTTATTCTAAATGTTAACACTTTGTGGGGGAGGTACCAGAAGGAGTGGACCGACATATTCCATCTTTACATCTAATCTTTTTATACCCTACACCACAAGGTGGTCAGGGTATTATGTCTTTGTGCATTTGTTTGTAACAGGCAGAAGGAAACGAGATAGACCCATAGTTCCTTTTGATGATCTGCATAGAATCACATTCTGAGTCGATTTATGCATGTCCGTCCGTCCGTCTGTCCGTCCGTCTGTCCATGTATTTTTGTAAACAAAGTACAGGTCGCATTTATTGCCCGATCCAGATGAAATTTTGCAAAGATCTTTTGTTTGGCCCAAGGACGAACCCTATTGAAATTGGAGATAATCGGTCAAAATTTAGATATAGCTCCCATATATCTTCGTCCGATTTGCCTTTTGTTGTGCACCAAACGTGTAATATCAGCCCGAATTGTATGGAATTTTGCATATACACCCAAATTAGGCCTGAAAATATGTAAGCCAAATTTGATCGAAATCGGTTCAGATATAGCTATAGCTCCCATATATATTGTTCATCCGATTTGTTGTATTTGTTACCCACAGCCGTAATATGCACTCCGTAACAACGATATTCAAGGAAATATATCAAATACAGCTCAGAAATATATTTGCCAAATTTTATCGAGATCGGTTTCGATTTGGATATAGCTCCCATATATATCTTTATCCGATTTCAAATTAATTCTGCATCAAATAAGCAATACAAGTCCGAATTTAAAAGATACAAATGCTTCGGCATATTAAGTCCTTTGAACTTTAAATTATAATTATATTCATAGCGTGTATGATTGAATTCTCCCATAAAAACTTTTAATTGTGTTGCGCAGCTCTACTAAATTAGCAAAGTGGTGTAGGGTATCATAAGGTCGGCCCCGCCCGACTTTAAGGCTTTCTTTACTGGTTTTTAGTAGAAATACTGCAATGTGCGAAAATTGGAGCGAATCGGGTGTGTATTTCGCACTTTATAAGAGTTGTAATTATTCCAAATGTTGACCCTTTGTGTGGGAGGTACATGTTGGAACGGACCGATTTGATCCATTTTCGCACCTGACCTAGAACTGATAAAAATATTGGGATTTCCACAAAATTGGATGATCATTTCGTGTTTTATGCGGTAAATTTTGTTGAACTTTTGTGCCAGAAGAAGTGGACCAATTTTTTCCATTTCCGAACTAAATCTAAGTTTTTGAACCAAATCAGACACTCCCTCCGAGAGTTATCACGTGCACCAGCCAGCCAGACAGAGAGACGGACGGACATCTCTAGATCGACTTTAAATGTCCTGAAACAGATTTGGTCCAAAGAGACCTAGGGTCTAAAACCGTTATTTCGATGAGACACGTTTTTGCCGTATCAAGTGGTATATATACCTTCTGTAGCCATATGGCTGACGGTATAAAAAGTTCACAATCTGAATAGGATCTGTATATGGAATCTAAAAAAATCTCAATTTTTGTAGAATGTGGATCAGACAGTCATACACTTTGACTCTGATGAGTTTCAATGGACATATCCTTCAATTCTTTAATTTAAAGTAATCCATACCGATATCAGTTCAGGACAGATTAACGAGATTCATGCTGTCCCTATCTACTATCTGGCGAAACCACAGTCAAGGGAACGGGCTTGGAATAATTAGAGGGCAAAGAAGACCATGTTGAGCTTGAGTCCTCTTTGTAATTGTTGTAAATAACTTTGAATTTGATGTAAACCAAAACCTAAATAACACATTATGTTGCATACCTTTAGGAGTTACTCATTAATATTCTGATAATTTATCAAGAGCAAGATGGCTAACTCCCGAAGCAAATAAGCTGATTTCCAACAAAGATTTTGAAGTGCATTCTTCTACCTTCCGGAAATATGCATGCGATCTTCTCAAATTTGCCTAGGAAAACACAACCTTCCGAAAATTTTTATATATAATCTGTTTTACTTCTCACGATTTATGTGGACAATGGGGTACAATGTGACTACCAAAAACGTACATTTCCAGTGTTATAGCCAAAACAATATAGATTAAATATGACAAGAGACATATGATCGCAACACCAAAGCCCAACTGGAATCTTGTAATCAAAAATGATCCATACAATATGAAACATGTGGACACTAAAATGACGGTAGAGTGGAATATACTCGCCGAATTTATGGCCACTGCATGGTGTTGTGCACTGCTACTGGACATGAAGATGGTTTTGAAAAGCCATGGAACACTCAAGCAAAAGGAAATATTGAAATTGTTCGAGCCCACAGCATTGCAAACGGCCATGGAACCATAACCTAAAGAAAAATCAAAGTAAATTGGATGATACTTGAAAAGATCTATAGACCAAATCTGAGTACCTTTCTTGGTCACAATAACACTTGATATTGCCTCTGGGATACTGGTACCAATTGCCAGAATTGTTATGCCCATTATCGAATCGGGAATTTGCAAATAATAACCTAATCCAAAAATTTCCTATATTTTTATATAAAAGTGATATTTCCACGCCTTACCAACGACGGTCAGCATCCAGGATATTAAATAGGTTAAAAGGGAAATCCACACAATGGACATAACCAAACCCAAGAGATAACATTTACGTTGCGAATGCCTTCGAACATTTGGTATGGTGAGAAACATTAACACCTCCAAAGGATACGAGATACACCAAATGAGTTTTGCCCAGCTGTTCTCATCGATTGGCCAGTGACAGAAATTGAATGGTTTCTCCTCGGAATTATCCGGGTCAAGCATTGCCAAAAAGTCTTGTACCGGTCCACGGGGTATAAAACACACACATGGGCATGATTTTTCGGGATCTAGGGGGTTAGAGTTGAGAAAACATGAAGGGGTTTTCAGCGGGATGGGGGTTTATATAACTAAGGACCTTTTTAAATATAACAAATTCCAATAAAGGTGAGAATACATAAAGAGCTTTTTTGACTGGCTTAAGTCATCGGCTGGCTTCTCCGTAGAGGAAGAAAGGATATTTATTTAGACTTAGTTCGATTTTGGCTCAAAGGCCAACGGACCCTTTGTTCTTTTGCGAAGAAGCCAGCCGATGACTTAAGCCAGTCAAAAAGGCGTTTTATGTATTTTCAACTTAAGAACCAACATTCCAAATAGGTTTTTAAAATTTTGAATTAAGTCCCAAAATAATCAGAAATAAGTACCCTAAGATTTTTAATAGTTATTCAGATTTATTTGTTTACGTATTACCTCTAATTTGCTTTTGCAAAACCCCATCCAATGACAAGTTGATGATGTTGCTTAGGAAGCAGAAAAAGAGTATTGCAGCTTCATACCAAAATATATAACCATCAAACATAAATACAGCCAGGAGAATAATATTTAAGGTATTCCAAAGCAAGTCACGGGTGAGAGGCCACCAATCCAAGGAGAAGCCCTAAAAGAGAGAAAAACAATTAAAATAACTGCCAACAATGTGTCCTTAATTTAATGCCACCTACCACCATGCCAGCCGAAAAGCCACAAAATGCAGTGATAGCCAAGCTATTGAAGGTCGAAGAACCAACAATGGTACCAATACCCATGTCACCCTCAGTCAAAAAAGTGGCATAGAAATTCACAAAGAACTCTGGTGCAGACGTAGCCACGGCAAGAAATGTGGCTCCAGCCACATCGTAGGACATACCCAATTCTACGGAAATAACATCTTCATTTTCAAGATTTAATTCAAAATCCGAATTTCCAACTTACTATAGCACAATCTCTCCACGGACGGTACACAATATTCATCACAGACAATGGCCACGCCCAGAAACAGATACATGTTTATTACAAAACATATCAGGACATAATCGTAGCGGATACCCTCCTCGGTAAACCAATTGGGAAAGGCATCTATTCCACTGATGGTACAATTTTCAATGTTGTCATGATTTCGATGGAAAAACGTGAGGACTTTGAGGAGACAAACATATATATAAAACTGGAATCATGGATCTACCGATAGGAATCACTTACTCAAAGAAACATCGCCCTCATTGTGTTTTGTGAAAGCCATACGCAAAAATTTTATTAAATAATTTATTTATTCGATAATATTTATTGCTAATGACAATTTCGAAGAAATCGGAATACACTCAGAAAAAAAAGTTGGCACAAGGTCCATATAAGGTCAGCCAAGAAGACTACTTTTGACAATAAATTTAGTAGTTTTCGCACTATTAGGTCTATTCCAGAACTGCAAGAATGTAAACGTTTTTACAAGGATATCAAAAAAAATGCAAAACTAGTAGATTCTTGCAGGTTCTGAAACAGAGCAAATATGTCTTTTGACCGCAAACTCAGTTGTCAGATGGGCTTACTGGCCGACCTTCTGATCTGTTCCAGAATCTACAAAAATCTACCAGTTTTGCATTTTTTTCCATACCAAAAATGGAAAATCGGTTATCGTAGTAAAAACGAATAAATTTTCGCAGGTCAGGCCATGGGTAGGCAAATATTAATGGATTTTGTTTGAACCTTGTGAAAGATTGAAACTCGCTCTGAGAGAAAAACTCTTTTCTCCGACTGTGAGGTAACGGAAAACTAGTAAAAATGTCAAAAATATAAGGTAAATATTCAAAATAAACATATCAATTAGAAGTTGGCAAAAATTGGAAATAATTTTTGAAAGGGTGAACTTTTTTCCAGAGAAGTAGTGAAAGATAACGCCATATTTGTTGCAGTAAAAGAAAAAGTTTTAGATTCTTGCACGTCAAGGAATAAAGTTATTCTTCATTGCCCAATGAAGTCAATTTAAAGTCAAGCAACTTCGCTTATAAGAGTTAAATTCAGAGCATACTTTAAGGCGCAAAGCGTTCAGTAATTTAAAAAAGAAAACCGTCAGGATTTAAATAATTTTTTGATTTTCTAGCGTTTGTAGAATCAAGGAAGTAAAGTCATGCAATTATATGTTTACATTTTTTTTCAAAAATTATTTATTTGACAACATCTCATTGTCAAAATTTGTATATATAAATTCATGGTACATACACAAATCAGAGATGGGAACCTGTTTTTATGTAGTGAAATGTGACAAGGTAAATTACAGAAAATGCAGAGATGGGAATGCTTTTTTGAAATGACTTTACCTTCTACATTTTACCATGCATATGCAAATTATCAAAAGAAAAGGGGATAAATATGAGTCCAGTGATTTATTTGATCTATTGAAATATAGCTAGCTTTTACTATTAGGTCAGCTTATAGATTATTGTGCAGTTTGCTTGAGTGTAAAAGGAAGGCCTCCATTCAACTGTAAATCCCCCTAAGCACTTGACCCATGCTATAAGTGTGAATTTTTCTTTTGCGCACACTTCGAGCCCTTGAACATTTCCCATTGTCTTTTCGACGATTTTATTGATTTTGTTTTGCTTTGTTTTTTGTTTTCTTCTACAGTTTGCTTTTTGGTTATCTGCGACAGTTTTAAGATGGCATTTGGTGATTAATTTCATTTGGACGATTGATATTCACTACTGATGTCATTGAATTTCTTAATTGACGTCATTCCCACACACAGGTGCGGCAAGTGTGACTGCTTCGACGAAAGGGAGGGCGAAGAGAGGCAATTTCCACAATAAAATATATATATGTTTATTCCAGCAATTTCAAGTATGTATGTTGGTTATCAACGATTTTGATTTATATCCCGATTAAATTTTAATATTTTGTTTTTGGTTCATTCCTCAATTATTTTGAAACACAATTTCAACTGACCGCTGTTCGAAAGATATGGTAATTTCATATTAATTAAGTCCACAGACAATGCCATTGATGCGACGGGTACTTTTCTTTGATTGCGCCAAGAGGGAATTACTTTTCGAATTTAGATTTGAAGTTGATTTTAGATATGAAGTGGTAATATCGGACCTGGAATTTTCGGCAAGGGGATTCCTGATGGGTCTGGACATGTGAAAGGCATGTGAAACCAACCATGACTAATTAGAAAGGTGGTAGCTATCAGAGCCAAAGGGATTAGTTGTTGGAACATGGCTAACTGTTTTGAAGAAGATTGTCATTTCGAGATTATTAAAGATATCAATGATCATTAAAATAAATAATAAAAATAATGAAAAAATGCCATTGTAAGAAACACACAAATAAATAAATGAAAAAAAAGAAATCTTCTAAAAATTACTCTTACAGTACGTTTACATATAAATTAATACATAAATTATTAGCCACTGGATTTGTATTAAAATAATCATATCCATTACATATGCTTTAAATAAATTAATTGATTACCGCAAACGCATTTGAATTAGGTCGTACTTACTGTTTATTATTTTATCGCCCTTGGGCGCCAGAATCTTGAATCTTGAGAAGTTTTGATTGAAAAGTGACATTTCACTCAAAATAGGCGCGCAAATCTATGAAAGTAGTATTGACAATTTATGATTTAGATAAATGCATGGTAGAAGAATACAGGTAGTCGCATCGACACAGCCGCTGGGACAATGAACTGTCAAAACAATTTTGGAATTGAAAATTTTCCATGAAATATGATTGAAAATTGTAAAATCTTTTGAAAAATTCATGTGATAATAACCTACGATTGGCTTCGTATAAGAAAGCATATAAAAATCTACTTATTTTTGATAACATTTTTAAAAAAATTGACAAAGGCGTAGAAGCAACTACCTTTATTCTCCTACCATGGATAAATAAAGGAACATAACAGACAGGTCTTAACTTTGACGATTCCTCCAAAATTTTCCATCCGTCGGCTGGGTTTGATAAAAGTATTTCAAAGTCTTTGAGCATATTTTTTTTAATGATTGAAATCATTTTTTGTTTAGTTTCTTTTTCCATTCAAGTTCAGTAGATTTACATAAAATATGTTCTTCCCGAAAACCAATAAATTTTCTCTTCATTCAAAATGCCGAGGCTTATCTTAAAAATGTTTGTTCAATTTTTTTTTTTCTTTTCTAAAAATAAATAAAATATTTTGCAAAAACCCAAATCTTTTGGGTCGTAGTCAAATTTGCTGGACATAAACTACGTTTTTATGGACATGTAGCCTTTGATTTGATTAGTTTCACTACTGATAAGGGCCTCCCCCTACTAACACCCCAAAAGATTGATTTATAAACAGGTTTCAAATTTAGCTCCAAATATTAGGCAAACATATTTATGTTTGCAAACGTAAATATTTATGCCAAACATTTACTAAAATATCAAACAGAACTGGAAAAATTTAATTTTGTGAAAGGAATTCCAAATTTGAAAAAAATGGTGTCGGCAAAGATTTGGGCTAGGAACTTAACAAATCAGGGCAAATTTAAGACATAAAAGTGAAGAATATTCCATTTAGTCAAGTTGCTAAGCAACAATTTTGTCATTCTGGAAGATTCCATATTGCAGGTATATCCAAGACTTTTAATATTCCCATTAAAACAAATCTACCCATAACCCAAGAACCAATACCTGCTACTCAAAACTACCTGCTGTCAGAATTCGATTCCTAAACACAACAGCCAGAAAACACACACATTTTTGGAAATTTTCCATCAAATGTGTAATTCTGTAACGCGACTTATCAATTATTTGTCATTCGATGGGAGTTTGTTTTCCTTCCAGAGGAACGCACACAGCAATTGTTTTCCCTGAAAATAAAAACAACAAAAATCACATGCGTACATAAGAGACTGCAATTGGCACAAGGGCTTGCAGTCGCCGTCAAGCAGGCATTTAGTGACGCACGAACTTCTTCCGATAGAGGTAGCCGCTGCAGCAGCATAAATTCCAAATGACGTTGTCGAATCGATCCAATATCCATTCCAAATGGAAATTAACGAAAATCATATTCAAATTGAGAATGGTGTTGATATTGGGAATATTAACTCTTTTCTATTTACGTTTTCTGTTGATGGAAAACGCGGTGAAAAATTTCGATGAAAATGAAAATTGTATGACTTGTTTGTTGTTGTGTGGTTTGAAAGTGTTTCTTTAAAAAAAATGTATCTGTTTACAAATTCTACAGCATGGATCGAAACACGGTATAGCCGTAAAATCTTATCTGTGGATTATTGGCCCCATGAATCGAATGTAGGCAATTGTACTCCTCCCGCTATTTTGGAATTCCCCTCGGACGGCTTAACGCGGGACCAACGCATCCATGGCTGGATAATTCTACACATTCTGGTGGTTTTCTATGGTTTTTGGTTTCTGGCTGCAATATGTGATGATTACATGGTGCCAAGTATTGAGCAGATCTGTTCGAGTAAGTGAAGTTGGTATTGGGTTTGAAATATGAATGAGAAGGAAAATTAATGTCCAGTCATGGTACAATAACAGGAAGTAGAATAAATGCTCTGTTTCAGAACCTGCAAAAATCTATTAGTTTTGCAATTTTTCAAAATCATGAAAGGAAAATCGGCTATAGTAATAAAATGTTCTACATTCTTACAGTTCCGGAACAGACCAAAAGCTATCACTTATTTTTTTTTTGGTCTCTAAGTCTATTACTTTCAGTAATGTGTGTATATATGTGTATGTTTCAAACTCATAGTCTGTTCCAGAATTGCAAGAATGTGAAACTTTTCATTACGATTACAGATTTTGTCTTTATAATATCGAAAAAATTGCAAAACTTGTAGATTCTTGCAGGTTCTGGAATAGAGTATCAGTTGTAATATATTTATAATTTTTTTGATACACTGTTTTCTTCCGATACTAATTTCAATTTTGTGGAAAACCTCTAAAATTGCACTCATATTTCCGTTTTCTCCAATATTTAATTCGAGCCTATTTTTGGAACAACATTTATTTACTCTCCCAATGGTTAATCCCTACACATTTAAAAAGAAGTAAACAATTAGAAAAGTATTTAAATGAAATCGGAAGCATTTATTTCATTTATTAAAAAATACAATTGACTTTGACATATTTTATGATTTCTTACTGTGCCCTTACCAAGAGTAAGCAAAAGAGCGAGGTGTTTAAATCTCGCTCTGAGAGAACTACTGTGAAGAGAAAGTATGAACACGGAAAGCAAGTTAAAATATCAAAACAAAATGGCATCACAAGATGACTCCACTTTAATACTTTTATACGATAAAAATAAAACGAAGAAATGCTGGCGAATAAGAAATGTCCTCAGTGCATTTATCAGACGTTTTTTGTGACCTCCTATACCCTATTTATTATTTATTTATTTATTTAAATTTTTACTCGATTTTTACTAAAACCCCATTTTTTTCTCTTTTACAGATTTTAAAATAGACGAAGATGTAATCGGGGCCACAATCATGGCAGCTGCTGTCTCTAGCCCAGAACTCTTTATGAATTTCGTGGGTACCTTCATAACCAAGGGAGACATTGGTGTGAGTGCTATTGTGGGTTCGGCTGTGTTTAATATCCTGGCTGTGCCAGCATGTTGTGGTCTATTTGCCCTTAGCTATTTGAAATTGGATTGGTGGCCCATAACTCGTGATTGTGTTGTATATCTTTTGGCCGTCTTAACGCTACTCGGTATCCTAAGAGACGGCAAGGTGATGTGGTATGAGGCCATTGGATTAATTGTTGCCTATTTCGTTTATATGTTGAGTAAGTGTGTAACCATGAAAACGTATTGAAATGTACGAAGAGCTATTACAATTGGCATTTGCTCTAACTGAGAATCACAATTCTCACATTTTTTTGTTTACTTCCTCAAGTGATGTATCACAATCGAAAAATATCCCAAACGGCTAAAAAACTTCTACTCAAATGTGGCCTTCATACTGCCCAATATCGGGAAGTTACAGAATTCACGCCACTGCTAACGAAAAACGAGTCCAAATTTAGTCTAGCAACTGAGGCGTATGTATCCCTTGAAAGGGGTCTGCATTCATCCCACTTAATGTTGTACCTGGAGCAACAAGAGAAACAAGGTATGTTCCAATCTAAAATTAAAAAAATATTATCGAATAACTGAAATAATTTTTGTTCTTCTAAAGAAAACATCCGTTCCCCCTGGTCTTGTGAAGGATACTCCAAAGTGGAATTTATTTTCCGTTGGCCAATAACATTTATTCTATGGTCGACCGTGCCGAATTGCCGGCAACGAAATGCTCTGCGGTATTTAACCTTTGTTTTGGCCATTGTTTGGACGGGTATTATGTCATATGTGGTAGCATTTGCCATAACCATTATAGGTAAGTGTTATAAAAAGTTGCCCCTGTTTCACATTTCATTTCAAATGTTATCGCTTTACACACCCCCAAAGAGAGAATGCAACCAATAGAATTCGAGAGATTTAACTTTATTGCTTATTAAGTTTTAAGATATTTTTTTTTCTTTCGTATTTATAACCTGCAATTTAAATTGTATGGAACTTGAAGAGTTTTATGGATGCGCATTTGATTATTATGTAGGAAAGGTTTTCAAGGGCATTCACATAACCTTTCCATACATTTTGCACTAATTCAGTCAATATTGTCTTAATCTAAAACTGTCCAAACTGTATCTCTCAATACACACTTTTTTTACTGGACCTTTGTGTAAGTTTTTCATAAAGCATAAGACATCTGCTGGCTTTTTTCTTCAAAAAAAACAAAGGATTTTTAAGCCGACTTAAGGTGAGAATACATAAAAAGCTGGCTTAAGTCATCGGCTGGTTTCTTCGTAGAAATTAGTCGTATTTGGTTTCTTCGTATTAAATTAGTTTCAGGTTGACTTAGTTCGATTTTGGCCCTATGTTTCTTTGTTATTTTTCGAAGAAGCCAGTCGATGACTTAAGCCAGTCAAAAAAGCATTTTATGTATTCTCACCCATAATTTGAACTAGGGTACCCTTTTATCTTCGTTCTTTTACGAAAAACCCATTCGGTGTCTTATGCGAGAAAAATATACTTCCATATATTCCCACCTTTAACACATATACATGTCTGCCAATTCAAATTCTATTTTTTGTTTTTATTTGACCTTGTAAAATTTTTTTTCAATTGATCTCTCTTTAGGTGACACCTTACACATTCCCGACTCTGTGTTGGGCCTTACCATATTGGCTGCCGGTGTAAGTATACCGGAAGCAATTTGCAGCATCATCGTCACACGACAAGGCCAGGCATCGAAAGGTCTCAGTAACTCGCTCGGTTCGAATACATTTGACATCTTACTTTGCTTGGGTCTACCGTGGTTTGTCAAATCCTATTTTCTGCCCGACAATCCACAAGAATTTTCGATAATTTTAAATGCCGAGGGATTAACATTTACCGGTGTTGCCCTATTGACATCACTGCTGGCATTGTACCTGATTTTTGCTCTCAATAAATTCACATTAAACCGGAGAGTAGGTCTAACCTGTCTGGTACTGTATATTGTAATAATAACTCTAACTACTCTAATGCAGTTGAATGTATTTTTCCCCGTTAATTTGCCAGTTTGTCCGCATTAGTTTTAGAGACAATTGATGAAAACGTGTGTGATTTCGTAATTGGTAATTTAATATAGCTTTAAGAAACGAGTATAAGCAGGTTTACACATATGGAATCCAGTAGATTTCAAATGTCAAATAGAAGTTAAAATTCACTTGGTTTCGTATGTGTAAACGTGCTATTATTTTATAAGTAAATCTAGTGTTATAATAGTAAATATTCCTCAACAATGGCAGAAACTTAAAGTTACAATTGAAAAATTGAGTAAAAAGTGAGGTAAAGGTGGAAATAGATAAAGCGCTTATTTGGAACAAAGGAGTTTTTGGTTGCCTTAGTTCGATTTTGGCCCATGGCTCCTTTGTTCATTTCCGAAGAATCCAGCCAAATAAGAGCTTTATGTACTCCCACCCTAAGACTGTGGGACAAATGCAAAATCCGACCCTACTCTAACTCCCAGAATATCTTATATCTGTAAAATAGATTTTATTGGTTTACATACGAATAGCTTACAATATTTTCAATAAATTTAACTTTTTATAAAAACGAAAAAATGTCTTATAAATTTATCATTTTAATCAGTAAATAATTCAAAAGAGATAATAAAGAGAGATATATTTAATTTTTCTAAGTAGCTACGTTCATTATATAATTTTATCAATGGCATTGGCGAAGTTCAAGAGTATTTAAAAATTTAATCAAAAATCAGATTTCAAATAATTTACCGAAGAGAAAAATACTTCAGACGATTTAAAGGGAATAATGGAAAGATAAACCATAAAACGCACGTGCCTTCTTCTTCAACAAAAAAAGTTAATAAAAGAGAAGTACTGCTTTAATTTGCTCAATCAGCTGTGGCCATTTTGAAACTCTTGAAAATGCCACATGTCGAGAAGTTTTCGATCGATGAACCAGATTAGATAGTAATGCGGTGTGATTTTTCCGAGCGATATACCTGTAAGTTTAGCATTTAAAGGGAGTGAGAAATGTGTTCTTAACCTTTTAATCTCGATCAAAAACAATGACTCAACACAAACTGAAGGATGAGATATAGAGAAAGAGGGGACACTTAATTATGAGTTTCTGGACTGGTTAATCAACAATTTGTAAAAATTTTTACAAATTGTTACTGGTTGTCGTCTGTTAACACAAAAATTCTGCAAAAGAGAGTAATTCAAGAGAGATTTTGAAAAGTTCTTTCTTGCCGGACAACATTTTTGGTGTTGGCATCACTTCCAACTCTTCTCCTTTTTTTTTTCTTGAAAACATTTTTATTTTGGAAATCGAAAAATTTTAGTTGTTTTTATATTTTTTTCTGACTCTCTGTCTACTATTAACTATTTTCTTACAAAAGAGAATAAAACTACCTTACTCTCGGAGAAAGAAGTTGGTGGACAAATCTTGCTGATTGATGAAGTGAAAGAGAGAGAAATTGTCCAGTGACAAATTTCAGGCAAAAATTTTAAATAAAAAAGAAAATTCCATTTATTTGGTACAAGATTCCAAAACTTGATGATATCGAAAAACAATTTTCTATTATTTCCCATGAGGCTTAATTTTGTTCACCGGTCTCAAGGGATTTCGGCGACACTCCATCCAGTGCTAACAAAATAATAAATGTAATTCTTTTATTATTTTTTATGATTTGTCAAATTGGCATTAACTGATAATGGGATCAGTTCTCGTTTCGATTCGAGGAACCTACTAATTTAGATTATTGGCACAACAATCTATCAAACCATGGATGATTGTATGTACTGCTGATAATGTAGCCAATGGAGGCAGTGAAATAGGATGGAACCTATCAATTATGCCAAGGGCTTTGTTGCAAAAATCCAACCACATTAGCCACAAGCATGGTGGAGCATTTTTTGCTTTTCAATAAAAACAAAGTTCGACTCTGAAACACTAGCAAAATTATATATAACTATGTCCGAGTCATCATGCTCATACGTGACCGCAATCTAATTGAGATCTTTAAATTTATCCACTTCTATGTGGACAATCATCGACTAAGTCGATTTATTCATAGAAATTTATAACTAACAACTAATCTTACCTCCTTCGAACAAACCGTACTGGTGGTAGTGCGGTCAGCAGATGATTCTCTCATCATAAATCTATTTATAATTTTTGGCATAGATAGAGTGTGTTCACTGGAAATGTTTAAATTAAAATTATGCATAAATTATTTAGAATAAATGATAAAAAATTGAACCATAAATGGTAATATAAGTAATAAATAAATGAAATGTCTTATCAAACTACGAGGTGGGTAAAATAAGGCAGTAAATCCTTGGCGAATGAGTCATCCTTGCGACCTTTCATAAAATTACTTTGAAAACATTGGGAATATCAATTAGTCCAAATAAAGATACAAATATTTATTTCTTTAAAAATATTGTTTTTTGATATTACCCTACGTTTTTCAAATTAAATGCAACTCTGATTAAACAGAATTTGTCATGTCTTTGTAAACGTCAGGTTAGGTTTGCTGGAATAAATATGAGCAAATTTAATATAAGAACAACATTCATCCATATAAGAAAAATGCAATATTTAATGAGATTTTTATGCAATTTTGAGCTACCAAACAGCATCCGATAGCAATTTATGCATGACTTGTATTTGTATTTCAATATCTAAAAGCATGTTTACATGATATAAATCCAGTGAATTTGACAAAAATAGTTAAGCTTGCTAGCCCCACTATATAATCAGCTAGATAATTTCCTATAGGAAAACTTTTGATCAGTGCAAGTATAAATAATTTGTTAAGCTACGACAACATTAAGGTGAGAATACATAAAACGCTTTTTTGGCTGCCTTAAGTCATCGGCTGGCTTCATCGGAAAAGAATAAAGGAGCGTAGGGCCAAAATCGAACTAAGTCAACCTAAAACTCCTATCTTCCTCTACGAAGAAGCCAGCCGATGACTTAAGCCGACCAAAAAAGAGTTTTATGTATTCTCACCTTTAGAGTTTAATTAAAAAAAAAACAAAACAAAACTCAAAAATAGCTTGGCAATTTAAATGAAATAAATTTAAATTCAATGAGTACTCCAACCAAGACATTTTTAATGTAAATATTCTCTTATAGCTGCTCTCTTCCTTGGCTATGGGGAAACATATTTTATTTCTAACAAATTACTTAGTTAAAAAGTTTTACCCAAACTTTCTACCCCACAAAAAGTATTTTTTGGGACAGTATATCAGCGATCTTCGGCAATTACTCTTCCGTTTTATAATCCCCTGACAGTTTCTTTATCAAAAACTGCAACTCAAAAATGCGAGATTTATTGGTAGACCAAATTTTTTGGCAATTACGCAGATATTGACCGCTGCAGCTCCCATGCTCCCAGGTTTCGTTCAAAACCACCACCACGAAGCGATAACATCCGATACGAAGACACCTCCAGCCGTCAGTGATTTATAACAATCGAAATGCGTCATAGTTTGAAGTCTTTGACATATCGCAAAATAATATTTCGATTCCTTTGGAGTGTTTGTTTTGTGCGTGTGTGTGTGTTTTTCTATTTTCTTTTTGGTCGGTCGATGTCAATGGCGAATCTTGACTGGGGAAGTGAATGGGACATATATCAATAATTAAATCTGCTATGGCACTCGGATTGATGGGCCTCTTTTATCACAAATGGAGTATCAATTTGCCGATAGTGCTCTGCTGCGAGCAAATAATTCCACTCTCCCAGTAGTGGCCGTAGTAATTGTTATTATTACTGCCGCTAATTTTAATTGTTGTTGTAGGTAGTTGCGGACCCAATCTATCTCCGGCTGATAGGGACAAAATGTCTCCGGACCAACCGATATTACCGATCAACTGGTGTGCGGCGGGGCAAAGCGCTGGCCGAACATGTATTGCTTACGAATAAACGAGCGGTGCGTAATCAATTCTCAAAAACGCTGACAGACAGATATCAGCCAACCACGGCGACCAGCATTCACTACTCAGTATTAACGCTGCCGATACCACGGCTAGTTAGTTGGCCGAGTATAAAATTAATAAAACAACGCGGTCTGATTTTATTCTCGTCAATAGTGGCCATAAAGACGTTTGTCCTGATTGTGTGTGAAATGGACGCGGTGTGGTAGAAAGAAAAAACCAAAAACACAAAAACAAAATAAATAAATAAAAATAAAAAATAACTGCAAATTGAATGAAATTGGTTATGTTCGAAAAATTCGTGGACTTTGAATACGTCGGTGATAAAGCCAACGAATCCCACCAACGCCAAACTCTAAACGGACTTTGTGAATGTTTATTTCAAGACAAGAAGAAATAAACACAATAATTTAATTGAATTTCCGGTTCCGCAAAGGAAGTGAAAAGTTTAGTGTCAATTTGCAACGACAAACAACAAAGCGTTCATGAGATGAGCTTTGACTAAAGCTTTAAATTTACGGGTGTATAACTACACTAAGCTGAGACTAAAGCTTGTTAACGAATTTGTGCTACCACCGACCGATACGGTGACAAATTTAAATTGTTTGTGTTTCTCTTCTCGCTCTGTGGGTTTAAAAAAAAGATTAAAAACACAAAAGCCGAACAAAAAACCTTGAAAAGAGTTGCCGATCACAAGAAGAGGAAGAAACAATAGCAAACAATAAACAAAAGCATGATAAAAAAATATATGCTGCACTTGGCAGTGCTTCTTTTGATATTTGCCCATCCAACCGAGGTTCTTGGGTCGAATGGTAAGTTTTGGTGAAATATCTGATTTGGTAAAATATCTGTGTGTGAATTTGTCACATTTTGTAGTAATAGACTGTCAGATGGGGAATGTTTGTGAAAATGAGAAGTTGGTTTTATGGAAAAGGATAGAGGTAAATTTTGGATTTTTTTTCTTCGGAAAGCATTTTACTTTCCGGCAAATGTTAATTATGTGAATTAGTACAAAATGAGTAAATTTCCGAATCAGCAAAACAAAATGCAGCAGTTTAAAGTCTGAAAGAGGGAATACAAAAAACGATATTTTGACGGGCTTAAGTCATCGTAGAGGAAGAAAGTAGTCTTAGGATGACTTAGGTCTATTTTGGCCTTGCTCTCCTTTGTTCTTTTCCGAAGAAGTCAGCCGATGACTTAATCCATTCAAATAAGCGTTTTATGTATTCTCACCTTTAAGCCTGTTAAAAAGGTCTTTTGGGTAGTCTTACCTTTATCTCCTATGTAACTTAATAATAGCAAGTGAAGACATTTTTCATCCTATTCCACTCCCTTAATCATGGTTAAGAGAATAAATGTAAACATAACTTAAGAACATGTTTGTTCTATGAAAAACAATGTTTCATGGGACACTTCAAAGGAAATAAGAAACGTTTGATGAAGAAGATTAGATTACATTTTAAGGTGGCATAAACGGCAGTCATGGGTTGGCTTTTTCGTAAGAAAAAACAAAGGAGTGTTGGGTCAAAATCGAACTATGTCAACCTAAAACTCCTTTATCCTTTTACGAAAAAGCTAGTCGATTACTTAAAGGTGAGAGTACATAAAATGGTTTTTTGACTGGCTTAAGTCATCGGCTGGCTTCTTCGTAGAGGAACGAAGGAGTTTCAGTTTGACTTATTTCGATTTTGGCCCCAGGCTCCTTTATACTTTTCCAAAGAAGCCAGCCAATCTTTAGGGTTTAAGTACAAAAAAGCTTGAAGTAATGGCTAGACATGACTTCTGTAATAAAGGGATTACACAGCCATACTAAAATCCTTCCGTCGTTATCCATTATAATTTGACATTAATGTGCCTAGCCATAACTTCAAGCTTTATGTACTCTCACCTTAAGTCATGTAATCTCACCTTAGGTCATGTACTCTCACCTGAGGTTAGATTGATTTAGTTCGATTTTGACCCTACGCTTAGTTCAATTTTGGGCCGTAATTTATACTTGTTCACCCTAAGCTCCATTGTTCTTTAACGAAGAAGCCATATCCAATATCAATTGGGATTGTATTTTTAAAAAAATATATATTTTCTTTTAAAAATACTTCATTTGACGAGAATTAAGTCAATATTTTGAAAACGTAATGTGCCATCTTTATACTTGCATGCATTTGATTAATGTTCCCTCATTTGTGGCTGTAGAAATGACCCTTAATTGATTTTGTAATCCTTAATTGATTTTGTAATGTAAGACAAGAGTCTTCTTTTCAATATTAAAAATGACAAACAAAAAGAAAAATTACGCAATTGGAAATCCAAATTTCATAAAAGTTTTAAGCTTTTTTTCAAATATTATTTAATATCGGTAATTCCAATTACCTTTAATGGATGATGCGAGTAAATTAGATTCGTAGAAAGTATAAAAATAGAAAACAGTTGGTATTTCAAAATTACCACTTTTTCCAATTGCAAATTTATCTTCGGTTCCAAGTAAATCAGCAACGAAATAGAAATAATACCAAATCAAGTACTTGACGAAAACACGGAATGACAAAATAATTCACAATCTCGTATTTTTTTTCTTAGCTTTTTTCTACACCTCCATTGATAAAAATGATAAAGCAAAAATTTCAATTTCTATTTATGTGCACTTTGAAGTGTTATAAAAATGCTTGAAAATAATGGCAAACACCGAAACTTAATAATTTCTAATGAAACGTAAACGATTAAATCACTAATTTTTTTATTGAATTTGTTAAAAATAATTATTAGAACAACAAAAGAAATGAGTAAAAAATAGAGTTTCAAAACGAGTTGGGGTACATCCCCTTAAAGATAATGCTGACTTTCCTAGAATTATCTAAAAAAATTGAAACATTTTTTGTAATTGATACTTTAGCAATTAACAAAGCGTTAGGCGATTGGATCATAAAATATTTTTTTAACTAATATTTACAATTGGATTCTAAGAAAAATACGTCAATGGATCCATTTACACAATTTCTAAAATCAAGATGTGTTCCATAACCATAGGAGTTATAGGTAATGGCGATGATATATAAGCAGCGTGGCATCATGACATGGCATATTAATGTCAAAATAAAAGTACAAACAATGGCAGGATTTTATGTGATCTGGCAAATATGGAATGCCATGATGCCATCGTTCTTCCATTGAATTATTGAAATTTTCAAAAAAAAAAAGAGAAAAACGCGCCTACATTCATTATCTACCTTCAATTGCCTAGCCTTGTAACCAACCAAGATTTTATTTCAAAGTTCATAAAGATGAAACGAAATAAGCAACAACAGCACCAACAACAAACTATTTATCAATCATTTTTCAATTGCATTGTGTGAGATTCCATAGAATATAGTAAATACTCATTACGTTTACTATTTGTCTTGGCGCCCAACGTTTATTGCTAGTTGCTTTGGTTATCTAAACGAACGAATTGGGAATTGGAATTACTTTACAAAAATTCCCATCACTTAAGAACGTTTTGCGGCGTTGAACGTCTCTCCAACGTTCACTGCTAAATAAAACAAAACATTGTTACAAGTTTTTTCTATTTTATTTGCCAAAGTTTCAATTTGAATTCATTAAAAAAAGCCCTTTAATAAAGGGTCTTTACAAATTAAGCGAATGAATTTATAATGATTTGAAAAATATATAATAAATGTGTGTCTACTTTTTGAGGTGTTTCATGTTTGAAGTGTTTGCATCGGACAGATTTGGTCAGTTGTTTTTTATAATAATACTAATTTAGTAATACAAATAATTTATTAATAAAACTAATCAATTCCATTATTAGCTCATATTTTCAATTCTTGGAATTTTATTAGAAATTCCTCACCACAAAAACCTTACGGTTATAATTTAGAACAGTGTGGCTTGTTTGTTCGGGATACCGTAGTATTTTGTTGTTGCAAAATGGTCAGGCTTATCCCTTTATTGTTGTTTTTATAAAAACAACGTTTGTTTATTAGTGGAGAACGATGGTAATGTTTACCAGGGGGTAAGGCAGGGAATACCTAGGTTTCGGAAAGAGCCACCAATCCTCATCAGTTCCCTTATTTTTTGTCTGGGATATTCTCACCAGAAGTTATTTTAAAAAATAACTTCTATGACAAAAAACATTTTTTACCCAAGTGACGAGATCGTAAGCTCAATAGAAGAGGAACCAAAGAATTAAATAAAACTAAAATTCTTTTGGAAAGTCTTCTAAATCTTACAACCGCATTTATAATTTATAATTATATATATATAATTTATTGTAAACTTTGTAATGTGTTAATTCTACTTACAATTATTATTTTTTACTTTCCATTATAGTTCTTAGTTTTTAAAAATCATTAGAAATGTTTAATAAAAATATCGCAGTAGAGGTTAACTCTATATCACAGATCGGAACTTATGAAAATAATTGCCACAAAATTTTGCTATTTAATGTTATTTGTCTTCTCTTAAGGTGAGAATATATAAAACCCGCAAGGCCAAAATCGAACTAAGTCAACCTAAGACTACTTTGTTCCTCTACGAAGAAGCCAGCCGATGACTTAAACCAGTCAGAAAAGCGTTTTATGTATTTTCACCAGTGGCTTTAATATATCTAGCGGATTAACGTTGTGTGTTTAAATACACCCTTGAAGGATTTAAATGCCGCTCAGCAGATGATTGTTTAGGTGTAAATACACAACTAAAAGAGAACGCAATTTTTCAAAAATAGTGTAATGAAAAGGCTAATTAATGACAAACGAGGGTGGAAATACATAAAGCGCCTATTTGGCTGGCTTAAGTCATCGGCTGGCTTGTTCGTAGATGAAAGAGTTTTAGGTTGACTTAGTTCGATTTTGTCCCCAGGCTCCTTTGTTAATTTCCGGAGAAACTAGCTAGAGAAGCGCTTTATGTATTCCCACCTTAAGTCAACCTAAAAATCCTTTGTTCCTCTACGAAGAAGCTAGCCGATTCAAAAAACCAGTCAAAAAAAGCGTTTAATGTATTTTCACCTTTAATTATATTCTAAGACCGGGACAAATCTACGCATCTTGTTTTTACCATTGCTGGATTTGTATTCATCGTGTTCCGAGCTATTAAAATGTACTTACCCATTCGATTCCAGAATTGTGTATCTCAGCAATAATCTATAGTTTTGGTTGGCGAGTTTATCTCCTAGATGTTGTTTTCTTTTTAAAAACATCCTTATCTGATTGCGTTGATTTCGCTCCCTCTCTCTCTCTCTCCCTCTCTCTCGATTGTTATGGATGCCTTTTTTGTTAAAATTTCCATAAGTGTGGTCTCATTTGTAAATCAAAACATGAAATTGCTATCACTCCTAAAACAGGATACAATCTAAAGTTTGCTTGCGAGGGGGACTTTTTGTTCAACTGTGGAAATAAAACACTTAACAATTAAATTAAATAGCTCCATTACATAGAACTTGAGCGACCAACAGATAGGACAGCAGTAAAAATCGTAAAAACAAAAACACAAAAACCTGATAAGCTATCGGACATATGTAGCAGCTTTATGTCAGTAGCAAGCTAACTGCTGGCTGCCTGGCTAGCTAGGCCTACAACAGCAACCGAATAACTGGAAGTTGGGGGGAACTTTTTCCATTTTTTTGTTTGTTTGTCGATTCAATGGTGAATGTCAATGGCAGTTGTTTGATCAATGTAACAGCGATTTCCAGTAATCAAAGAAAATCCCACTTATTGATTTATTGATGATCATTTTCGTGATAAGGGATTTTTTGTTTGCTTTTTTGTTTTTTGTGTTACGCTCGTAATTGGCCAACAATTGCAATGGATTTTCAAACAAT